ACAACTTTTTAGCCCCCCAACCCCCCCCCCCCCCCCCCCCCCCCCACCCCCCCACCCCCCCCCCACCCACCACACCCCCCCCCCCCCACCCACTTACCCCTCCCCCCTCCCACCCACCGCGCCCCCCCCACCCCCCCCCCCCCCCCCCCTCCCCCCCCCCCCCCCCCCACCCCACCCCCCCCCCCCCCCCCCACCACCCCCCACCCCCCCCTCCCCCCGCCCCCGCCCACCCCCCCCCAATCCCCCCTCCCCCCCCACCCCTCCCCCCCCCCCCCCCCCAATTTTCCCCCGCCCCCTAAAAAAAACTTGGGGGGTTTTGGGAGCCCCCCATTCTCCTTGCCACCAAGAGAGGCTACAGAAACAATTGCAGGCACTTGCTGGAGCCCTACCCAGCCCAGGAGCGGTTATGTGCCTAGCTCAGCCCTCTGCACCCCCACCTCACCCAGAACAGGCATAGGCAAGTGAGGCCTGGCCCCCTGCAATGGACTGCTTTTCTTAGGAAGGCAGGCTGGGCCCCAAAAATCACAGCAGCCCCAACTTTACCACTCATCTACTTAGCCACTTGGAGACATGGTAAGGGTAAACTGAATATTGAGGCCAGCCTGGGCTACAATAGCAAAACCCTGCATCAGAAAAACCAAAAGGGAAAAAAGAACACTTGAAAAAAAAAGTGCTATTTTGATAAACATAAAAATAAATCTGTTAAATTTAAAAAAGAAAGTAGCTGGGCACTGGTCTCTCACACCTGTAATCCTAGTTACTTGGGAGGCAGAGACTGGGAGGATCAAGGTTTGAGGCCAGCCCAGGCAAATAATTTGCAATACTATCTCCAAAATAACTGGAGCAAAATAGACTAGAGATAGAGTATCAACTTTGCAAGTGCAAAGCCCTGATTTCAAATCCCAGTCACACCAAAAAAAAAGAAAAAAAAGTGAGGTCCCTGTTTAGAAGACTAGACAACTGGCATCCATGCTGTACAGTCCCCACTTCTAAATATTCTAGGAGAGACCAAGCAAAGGTGAATTGTCTGCACAAAATCCTTCACTCCTTAAGTAAGAAGGAGTGGCCAGCCCCAGCCTCAGCCCCTTGTTCCAGGCTAAGGCTGGACATGAACCTATGAAAGCAGAGTGCTACTCTCCACCCTCCCCCACAATACACACAACAGCTGTTCTGGGTCCCCCAAGCACTGTCCTGTAGCCTCAGTGTCCCTATGGGGGAGCAGAGCGGCAGACCCCACTCGGCATCAAATCTAAAGCGTCCTTCTGACTGGACCTTCCCTAGATCCTCCCTTCTTGCATTTTGCCAGCAGGCATCAGGGATTGCCCATTGTCCAGGTACTTGTAGGAAAGGCCACCTGTGTTGTACCCCTCAATGGTGTCAGTGACGATCTGGAAAAAAGCCCGCCCTAATGGACAGGTAGACTTCTCCAGGCCCCTCTCCCCTGGCTCACACCCCCTCACCATCACTTGCCTGAGATCTGTAGGATACCTGCACACACCTAGAGGCCACACCTCTTGCCCAAGTGGTGGCCCCCACAAGGAAACAAGCTGCATGGATGGGCCCATTGGCCTCGCTCTTTTGGGATTGAAACGGCGGCTACTCCTCCCGTGCAGGACAAATATCCCATGGCAGCAGGCGCCGCCGCTTCAGCAGCCGAGGTGGAGAGTGGCGTCCGAGTGCTCATGGAAGCGGCAAACCAGTTTAACAAGGAGCGGCTGATGGAGTTGCAGGAGGCCGTGCGGTGGACCGAGATGATCAGGTGAGTCCACTGTCCTGTTGCTCCAAGTCCCAGACTTGAACTGGCATCTCCACTTTGAAATGTGGCCACTGAGCAAGGGGTCATGGGCCCACCCAGATGGTGAAGTTGGCTGACCCCACCATGCATCCCTCTCTTCCGAGAGTATTGGAAGTGTTCAGTCCTCCCTGGTGGCAGTCTCGGGGTCCCAGGCAATAGGACCAGCTAGCTCCTCCTGTGCCCTCCCTGTAGAGCATCCCGAGAGCACCCGTCTGTGCAGGAGAAGAAGAAGTCCACCATCTGGCAGTTGTGAGTGGGGCACCCTAGGGAGTGTGGGTGGACCCCCCCCTAAGGCCACTTGCTGCACAAACAGCTTACCTCCCTGTGTCTCCACCGGCAGCTTCAGCCGCCTCTTCAGCTCCTCCTCCAGTCCACCTCCTGCCAAGCGGTCGTACCCATCAGTGAACATACACTATAAGTCACCCACCACTGCTGGCTTCAGCCAGCGCCGCAATCACGCCATGTGCCAGATCTCAGCTGGCAGCCGGCCCCTGGAGTTCTTCCCTGATGAGTGAGTCTCCTCCATCCTCCACTGGTCCACTAGGAGGAGGAGGGTTCTGTGTCCCAGAGCCACTCCTCTGCAGGCCCTGAAGCAGGCCTTTAACTTGCTGTGCTGTGGGATGTGCTCTGGCCAGGGCATCAGGGAACACAACCTCCCCACGCACATGCTGTGGTTCCTAGCAGGGAGCAGTGCTGGTCTAGCTCTAGTGTTCTGCTCTGGATGTCTCTTGGCAGAGCCTCCACTCCCAAGCATCCCCTCCTCTTAGTGCCCAAGGGCTGTGCTGGTGGGCTCCACAGTGGCCCTAGCTCTTTGTCTTTGTGCATTGGCCTAAGCTCTTAAGCATCTTGCTGCCACAAGGAAGCCATGTCATGCCACCTCCAGGGAGGAGCTGCTGACCATCTCTGCCCCATGCTACACTGTAGGCTCTGTCAGCTGAGCCCCAGGGTCACAACCCATATTGAGAAAACTCCCTCCCCCTCCTTCAGATGGGTACCCAATGGCCCATAAAAGGTGAAGGAAGCTCCAGGGCTCCCAGACATGGGGTGCTCCCTGAAGGGCAGAGATGTGGGGCTGTGGGTGCCTACCTTTGCATAAGCTACTCACCTTGGACAGATATAACCTGTTACTCATCCCACCCAGTGACTGCACATCTTCCGCCCGGCGGGAACAGAAGCGCGAGCAGTACCGCCAGGTGCGCGAGCATGTGCGCAACGATGATGGGAGGCTGCAGGCCTGCGGTTGGAGTCTGCCTGCAAAGTACAAGCAGGTGCCCAGGGCAAGGGTGCAGTGTGTGGGTGGGGTATGGGGCACAGCCCAGCACAGTGTGGGTACAGGGTGGGAGATGCAGTGCAGGTGGGTAGGCCAAATTGGCACTCACTCCCACAGCTTAGCCTGGGTGGTTCCAGAGCTGCATCTTCCACTGCCGCACTGCCAGGGCCTGGAGAGCTGGCCTCTTGCCCAGTACACTCTGTGCTAGAAGCCACCCGTCTGGGCTGACCTGGGTTTCTGAAGGACAGGTTCCTGCACCTGGCCTCATACCCACAGTGCTTCCCTCTTTGTTGCAGCTGAGCCCCAATGGGGGCCAGGAGGATACACGGATGAAGAATGTTCCTGTCCCTGTGTATTGTCGTCCTCTGGTGGAGAAGGACCCCACCATGAAGGTGAGCCCAGAGGGCTCCACCCAGGAGCTGCATGGCAGGTCTGGGAGGCAGCAGTCCCTGCTGAGCCCAGCAGAGGTGCCTGTGCCCTCAGTCCCCATAGCCCTGTCCTTGCAGTTGTGGTGTGCCGCCGGTGTCAACCTGAGTGGGTGGAAACCAAGTGAGGAAGACTCTGGCAATGGAGTCAAGCCAGCTCCAGGCCGAGACCCTCTGACCTGTGACAAAGAAGTGGAAAGCGAGCCCAAGAGCAACCACACATCACCTGAGAAGAAGAAGGTTAGTGTGCTGGCAGAAGCTGTGTTCCCATCCCACCCTGCTCAGAGCCTGCAGGATCTGACTGGGAGTGACAGATCTTGGGGACAGTGCCTGCCTGTTGGGCTGGGTTGACAGGAGGCAGATGCTCACAGAATCCAGGAAGTGGTTTCTTCCCTTCCATAGACCAGGCCTGGGCCCAGCTGCCTCCTGGTCCTCATGAGGTACCAGGAACCAGGTGCTCAGCTGAGCTTTTACCTCACACAGAGGAGCAGGCACCAGGAGGGGCTGTAAGCAGAAGGAAGGCAGAAAGCTCAGCAGTGGAGTCCTACTTGAGTTGGGGGCCAGGGATATAACTTCTCAGAGAATCATCTAGATAAGGTTCTCTGAGTTCCTGTCCAGGCTCTGGAGGAAGACAGCCATATCCACTGGAGCCATGGTCAAGGCTATATCCTTCAAGATCCCAGGAGAGTCCATGAGCCACATTGATGCAGGGGTGGCCTCAAGTGCAGGTATCATCCTTGACCCTCTTTGCTCTGAAACAGGCCAAAGAGGTCCCCGAGATGGATGCCACCTCCAGCCGGGTGTGGATCCTCACCAGCACCCTGACCACCAGCAAGGTGGTGATCATTGATGCCAACCAGCCAGGCACTGTCGTGGATCAGTTCACAGTCTGCAACGCCCATGTTCTGTGCATCTCTAGCATCCCTGGTGAGCCAAAGCCCACATGGTGTGCCAGGCACTGCCCTGCAAAGCTGTTGCTCAAAGGGGGTGGCTCCTCTCTTTACCAAGGGATGACTAGGTCATGGGTGCAGGAAGAAGCTTGCTGGGGTACGGAAAGGGGGTTGGCTTCACTCTTCAACAGCAGTCCCATGACTTCCTGGGCCTGGCCCTAGCCCTAGCATTGTACTGAGGAGCAGGCAAAGAAGGCCTGCAGGACTATGGTACAGAATTTCAGCCATGTCCAGAGACAGCCCTCAGCTCCTTAGGATCTGTCACATGATCAGAAGCTTTTCACTTTGAGGACCTGAGCCTCAGTACTCAGCTCCCCTCTGCCTAGGGCTCACTCAGCAGAGCCAGCTTGCTGGACTCTGGGCCTCTGTCCCAAGCGTACTGGGCAGTGCTACGTGTAGAGGTGGGGCTGGCTGAGACTGTGGGCAGCCCTCCCTCTCCCCTGCATACAGAGAATTGAGCTCTGGTTTGGCCTTGCCATGACGGGCTATGACTCTTCCCCCAGCGGCCAGTGACAGCGACTACCCCCCAGGGGAGATGTTCCTAGACAGCAACATGAACCCCGAGGACTCCGGCACAGACGGCGTGCTGGCCGGCATCACCCTGGTTGGGTGTGCCACCCGCTGCAATGTGCCACGTAGCAACTGCTCCTCCCGAGGGGACACCCCAGTACTGGACAAGGGGCAGGGTGAGCCTTAGGCAGCCTTCTTCTCCCCGCCAACCTCATTCCTCCACCTCTGCCCAGCCTATTTTACCCACTCCTCTTTCCACAGGAGAGGTGGCTTCTGCTGCCAATGGGAAGGTCAACCCATCCCAGTCCACAGAAGAAGCCACAGAAGCTACAGAGGTACCAGACCCTGGGCCCAGTGAGCCACAGGCATCTGCAACACGACCTGGACCCCTCACAGAGCATGTCTTCACTGACCTGGTGCCCACTCCGTCCTCCAGCACTCAGCCTGGCAGGTAGGCTCTCAGGTTGAAGAGTACAGGAGTGGAGAGGAGACTGACAGAGGTGGGCAGGGTCTCCTGGTAGCGGGCAGGACAGGCTTCTGTGGGCCATCCTGGAGCTACTATCTTTTTCACAGTGAGAACGGGCCAGAGCCAGAGGTCAGTAGTGTGCCACCACAGCTGGAGCCCAGTGGGGAGCCCTCAGCAGCAAGCAGCAGTGCCGCACCCACCATGTGGCTGGGAGCCCAAAATGGCTGGTAGGAGGGATTAGGGGCGGGGGTGGGAAGAGTTAGTGGGTGAGCCCCTGCACACCATGCCTCCCCCCACAGGCTCTACGTGCACTCGGCAGTGGCCAGCTGGAAGAAATGCCTGCACTCCATTAAGCTGAAGGACTCTGTGCTGAGCTTGGTGTACGTAGCCCTGAGCTCAAGGCTGGGGGTCAGGAGTGGCCAGAGTGACTCAGCTGGCCTCTGTCTGGCTCACTGCCTTCCCATTCCAGGCATGTCAAAGGCCGTGTGCTGGTGGCTCTGGCAGATGGGACTCTGGCCATCTTCCACCGAGGCGAGGGTAAGGCCTGGCAAACCTACCAGAGATTGGCCATGGAGCTTCCCTGGGTCCCTGGGGATGTTCCCAGCCTGGCAGTGGGTCCTCTACCCCAGCCCCATGAGCAGAGGTCAGCCCTGGTCAGGCCTGAGCAGGTGTCATGGGCTCTGTCTAGACGGCCAGTGGGACCTGAGCAACTACCACCTGATGGACTTGGGCCACCCACACCACTCCATCCGCTGCATGGCTGTTGTGTATGACCGCGTCTGGTGTGGTTACAAGAACAAGGTGCACGTCATCCAGCCCAAGACGATGCAGATCGAGGCAAGTGTGCCCGCAGCCCACAGATGGCTATCTTCACCTCCCAGTAGGGGGCCCAGTGAGGAACCTGCTTAGGTCACTCCTTTGGTCGCCGTCATAGCAAGTGAAGGGCAGCTGGGCTGTAGGTGCCAGTTTGCTGGAAGCCTGTGCACTGCTGTGCCCCCTTGAAACGGGTCAAGGATTCACACCCCCCCCCTCACCCTGTAGCTCTGTCTCCTTCCAGGACCTGCTTTCCTACTCACCCACCCCACTCCACTACAGGCCAGGATCAGAATCTGTAGAGTGCTAGGCAGACATCAGAGAGGCCCTAGTGTTGATGCAGTTTCCCTACCCTTTCCTGTCCATTCCCCACCCCACTGATGGGCTGCCATGACCCCACAGAAGTCATTTGATGCCCACCCAAGGCGAGAGAGCCAGGTTCGACAGCTGGCATGGATCGGTGACGGTGTATGGGTGTCCATTCGCTTGGACTCCACCCTGCGGCTCTACCATGCTCACACCCACCAGCACCTGCAGGATGTGGACATTGAGCCCTATGTTAGCAAGATGCTGGGTAAGGGGTTATACTACATGTGGGGGCAGCTGGGGGCACCCAGCGCAGGCCACACTGACCCCTATCCCTATCCCCACCCCAGGCACTGGCAAGCTGGGCTTCTCCTTTGTGCGCATCACTGCCCTACTCATTGCGGGCAACCGCCTCTGGGTGGGCACTGGCAATGGAGTCGTCATCTCCATCCCCCTGACAGAGAGTGAGTAGCTCCCTCCCCCAGGGGACACCTACAAAGAGCTAAAGGGCAAGGGTCAGCTTTCCAGGATGGGTGTGTTCCTCAGAGACACACAGGAGGACTCTGGCTACCTGGCTAAAGCCAGACTCAGTCTCCCTGCCTCTTTCCTCCCCAGCTGTGGTCCTGCATCGAGGCCAGCTCCTAGGGCTCCGAGGTAAGTCCACAAGCCTGCCCTGCCCCAGTATAGCCCAGGGTCTTTGTTCCCCACTGCTCCTTGCCTGCTGGAAATAAAATTGCTCAGCCCTTCCTATCCCTGTCTCTAGCCAACAAGACATCCCCCACATCTGGGGAGGGCGCTCGCCCAGGGGGCGTCATCCACGTGTATGGGGATGACAGCAGTGACAAGTCAGCCAGCAGCTTCATCCCCTACTGCTCCATGGCCCAAGCTCAGCTCTGCTTCCATGGGCACCGTGACGCGGTCAAATTCTTCGTCTCGGTGCCAGGTGAGGGACCAGCCTGCTCCCTACTTTGCCCACAGTTCTGCAGGGTACAGCTGTGGCTCCATCAGGAGACTGCTGTCCTAAAGTCCCTCTGCCCTGTGACAGGGAACGTGCTGGCCACCCTCAATGGCAGTGTGCTGGACAGCCCATCAGAGGGCCCGGGACCTGCTATGCCTGTTGCAGACACTGAGGGCCAGAAGCTGAAGAACGCACTAGTGCTGAGTGGTGGTGAGGGGTACATCGACTTCCGCATAGGTGAGCGGGTGCCACACTGGCTGGGACGAGGCTGGGTGCTGGTGGGCGAGAGCTGCCCCTCACAGCTGCGAACCTTCCAGGGGACGGAGAAGATGACGAGACGGAGGAAGGTGCGGGGGACGTGAGCCAGGTGAAGCCTGTGCTATCCAAGGCCGAGCGTAGCCACATCATCGTGTGGCAGGTGTCCTACACCCCTGAGTGAGGCCCTGCCCTGCCTAATGCCAGTCTGTACATAGGACCCCTGCCCGCCTGTCCCCCCTGCCTGTCCCCTGGGCAGCCAGGTGCCTGTCCGCCCCCCTCTAACCTCTCAACTTGCAGCTTTCACCTGAGGTCCGGCACCCCTAGCTGGCCGGGAGGGGGTGATGCAGGTCCTTGGGAGGGGGGCAGGAGTGGGAGGCATTCCCATCAGGGAGGAGGGAGACCCTCTGCAACACCCTCTCCCCAGCAGCTCCTGGACGACACCCAGCCCAACCTCCTCAAGTCCCAGGGGCATCTCAGGGCCAGGGCAAGGTGGAACACTGAGGTGGCTATGGGAAGGCCCTGCAGGGAGCCCTGACCACCAGAGGCTCCCCTCTCCTTATAGGAGCAAGGACGCCTCATCACTTGGTCTTCCCAAGTCCATGTGCTTTGCATGCTGCCCTGGGGTGGGGGTGCTGGCTTCTAGGCCCTTGCTCCCTGGGGGACCTAGACCCAGCCACCATCCTCTGCCCAGGAAGGTGGAGGCTCAGGCTGCCCAGGTGCCTGGACCCAAGCCAGCCTTCTCTAGGCTTTCCCCATCCCCAAGCCTATTCCCTCAGCCCCAACCTGGGCCTTGCTGGGGATCTGGCTTAAAGCTTGGGCCAGGCCCCCTGGGGCAGCTGCTTCAGAAGATGAACCAGACATCTCTTATCCTGCTGGAGCACGAGGTCATCCAGTCCCTCACTGACCCGTGTTTCCAGGTTCTGCCTGGGCACAAAGCCTCACCTTGGAGGAGCAGAACCCTGGCACCCTGCCCCTCCCAGAAGCCCCTAGGGTGGAATTTCTCAGGCTGCCAGGGCAGGCCCAGGCCTCAGGAAGAAGGGGAAGGCCCTGACCTCCCCTGGGTCAATTCTAGGATGCAGGCTTAGCCTCAGGGTGATGGGGGATTGGAGTGCTCCTGTGGCCTGCTTCCTGCACAGGGCTCCATGGAGCCCAGCTCCCAGACACGTACTAAGTGCCTAGGGTTGCCTGAAGTGGCCTGCTTCTTTGGAGAGCAACTGATAAGAGGCTGCCAGAAGGTCTGAGGATGGGGCTAGGGTAGCCTGGCTCTAGATAGGTGTACAGGGCAGGTGGTGCCCTGGGCTGCCCTTAGCTGGCCTCCCCAACCTTCCAGGGCCCAGGCCTTACTCCTGCTCCAGGGGCACTGATCAAGGCAGCTGGGCCCACTGCCCACTGCCCGCCCTCTCCCACCAGAGAAGCACAGATCTCGGGGAGCTGTCCCACAAGCCCAGCTGCCACTGCAAGCTGCAGGCTTCTCCCCACCACCCTGCCATTCTCCACTGTGATGTATGTCCCTTGTCTGTTCCCACAGGAGTGTGAAGTGACTGGGGGTTAGCTGGGTGGGTGCAGCTGGAGGAAGGGGCCGGGTGCGATTCTCCTCAGGCTTTGGCCCTGCAAGTGAACCCACATATCTGCTCTGTATGTAATAAATGTCTTAACACCGTTATGTGTCTGAGACTAAGCCAATGCGCACACACACACACACACACACACACACACACACAGGTTTTCCGAAATTTATTATGAAAAGAAATGGAAGCGGGCTGAGAACCAGGATGTGCCCTGCTGGGGGTTGGGGGGTGGAGGGGGTTGGGAGCTCTGCTCGCCAAGCAGCCATGCAGTGTTGGCTTGTCCTACTGCTGTGGGGACCCAGAAGCTCTAGCCGCCTCCCTCGGAGCTAGCAACGTCAGACTCCACACCACCACCACCACCACCCCTGTGGACGGGCTACTCGTACAACCAGTGCCCAGCGCTGTCCTCCCAGCACAGAAGCTCGTCGGCGCGGAACCAGAGCGCGATCTCACGGCGGGCACTCTCCACTGAGTCGCTGCCATGAACCACGTTCCTGCGCGGGAGACGGCGCGCGTGAGCCAGCGCAGAGGAGCGGCCGGAAGGGCCGGTGCGGAGAGCGCGACGGGACTTACTTGCCAACCTCCACGCAGAAATCCCCGCGGATTGTGCCTGGAGAGGCTTCCACCGGGTTGGTGTCTCCGATGAGCGCCCGCGAGGCGCGCACAACATCCAACCCCTGCCACACCTGCGGGCGCGACCGTTAGCGCGGAGACTGCCCCCGGGGCCGCGCCCGACCCCCGCCCGCACGCACTCAGGTGGAAGCTCACCATGGCCACCACGGGCCCCGAACTCATGTATTTGACCAGGCGGCTATAGAAGGGGCGTCCGCGCAGCTCGGCGTAGTGCTCGCGCAGCAGCTCCTCGGAGCCTGCGGAAAAGAATGGCCGCCTGCGCCAAGGTCCCGCACCCCAGGTCCACCCCGGGTCCCATCGGCGCGCCCAGCCCCGCCCGCACCTGCACCAGCTTCAGCGCCACCAGCTTGAAGCCCTTCCTCTCGAAGCGCCGCACGATCTCGCCCACCAGCCGCCGCTGCACTCCGTCGGGCTTCACGGCCAGGAACGTGCGCTCGTGCTCGCCGCTGCAGGCTGCAGGAACGCGGGCGTTAGGCCTGCCCAGTGGCGCGCCCCCCGCCCGGCCGGGCCCCCACGCTCACCCGCGGGGAAGAGGTTGGCGAAGATGGTCAGCACCAAGCAGATCATGGCGGCGGCTGGGCCGTGCGGGAGGGGCGGCGCCGGGGCGGAGCCTCGCTTAAAGGGCCGAGCGCGCGGGCTGCCCAGCTGCGCCCGGGAGCGCAGACCCGAAAAACGCATCCGCCGCCTTCCCTCCCCACCGTCCCGCGGCCCCCACGCAAAGAAACCACAACCCAAGCCACTTCGAGCGTTTATTCCCAGCCACAAGAACGCGGAAGGGGCCGCCTGGAAGTGACTGACAACCCGCTGCTCTCCACTTTCGTCCAGCAGCCTGCAGAGCGGCAAATTAGGGCAGCGGGGTCTGTCGAAGCCAAAGACACTGTCATCACACTGGCCGTCATAGCCCCGGGCGCCCCTGCCGGTCGGGGCGCGTTAGACTGGGGTCCCTTTGGCCTTCCCTTTGGCCTGTTTGGCAGGATAGTCCCAGGGATCCGCGCACGACATATCCACACTCAGCGAGGGCTCTTCGACGCTTGTGTCCCCGTTTTTCCGTCTCTCGGCCAGAATCATGGCCCGGAGAAGGGGTGGGTAGGGCACCCGGCGCAGACTGTCCTTGGTCCCCGGTGTGAACGCAGTGAAGGCCGCCTCCTCGTGCTTGGGCACCAGACGCCAGTCGTGGTACATAGCGTGCTCGATTTCCCGGGCCTCACCCTCTGTTTTCCCTGGGGAAGGAAGACGGTGCTGACTGCGTGTTTGCGGGACAGTCTGCTGTCCGTCCGGCGCGCCAGCCACCCAGTCTTACCTTTGAAGGTCAGGATGCCCCAGGCCTTCCCGTGATCCAAGTTCTGCAGAGCAAGAGAGGAGCGGGTCAACTCAGAAAGCCGGCCGTCCCCGGGGATGGGGAGCGGGAGCGGGAGCGGAAGCGGGAGCTCGGGTCCCCGAGTTGCGTGGGGGGAGAGGGGCGGGCAGGACCCGGCGCACGCGCACCTGTGCCGTGTAGTCGGGCCGCACGCTCGTCAGGCGCCAGTAGCACGGTTCGTCGTGCTGCCACAGCCAGGACTTGCGTGTGACCAGGCGGCCCAGGCCGAAGAGCGGGAGGCGGGCGAGCAGCTGTAGGAGGCGGCTCTCGCGACGCACGTCGGCCCAGGCGCGCATCGGCAGTCGGTGACCAGAGAAAGGCCGGGTCAGCGACTCGTGGTCTAGCGCGTAGCGCTGCGAGTCCCGCGGCCGGTCCCGCTGCTCGCGCAGGGCACGCACGCGGCGAGCCAGCTCCGCGATTAGCCGCGGTCTTACTTTCTTCCGCGACATAGCTGCGTCTGGTCCCGCCGGAAGCCCGCGCGCCCCGAGCCCGCCCCCGCCGGAAGCAGCCGGTGTCCTGGGCAAAAGGGGCCGGAGGAGGCCGGAAGTGGTGGGGAGACCGGACTATGGCGGAGGTGCGCTCCCGGAGAACCGCGGGCTCGCGCCGGGGCCGGGGCCGGGGCCAGGGCCAGCGGAGACTCCCGACCTGGGAGGTCTCAGACTCGGACCCCGAGGGCGCCAACACTGCGGAGGCGGGCGCGGAGGCCGGTGGCGTGGCGGGGGAGCGCAGGGCGGCGGTCAAGGCTCGGCGGCCGGAGCAGGTCCTGAGACGCCTGGTGGTGTGCGTGGACCCAGGTGCGGGGCCGGGGACGAGGGTCGGGGCTGGAAGAGGACGAGGACCTGGGGCTGCCCCTCCACCCCCGCTGGGGCAGCGCCCTCATCCCCAGGCCCTCGCAAAGAAGGGGTGACCGAGCTGTCCCCATGGGCCCAGCCGTCCTGGAAGATGCTGGTGCGGACATCCTGATGGAGGCTCTGGGCGCGCTGGGCTGTGAGTGCCGCATCGAGACGCAGCGCCTGGCCCGCAGCCTGCAGTGGAACGAAGTGAGGCCCAGCCTCGACCCCTGCGGCGTGTCTCCTTCCTGCTGGCCCACATCGCGCACGCCTCACAGAGGGTCAAATCAAGAGCGAGATGATGCCCAAGCCATGCGGCCAGTAAGAAGCCAGAACTCAGCTGCTGGGGGAGAATATCCCATCCCCAGAGAGGCTGGGGTCGGGGTTCTTGGTGCCCATAAGCCTGGGCTGATCTTGGGCTCTGGGAGGCAGATCGCGGACTTCTGGAGAGAAGTGCGATGGCGCCTGCACTTGCCTGTGGCAGGAGCTGCAAGGTTGCTGAGGTGCCTCTTGTTGGCTGAGCAGCTGTGACTGAGGCTCGGAACACACAGGCTTGGGGTGGGTAACAGCACCCCTAATGTCCCCACAGGTGCCTCCAGAGCTGCAGGCTGAGGATGAGCAGGAACTGCTACTTCTGCTGGAGCCCCAGGAGTTTCTGCAGGGTGCTGCCCAGCTGACCCAGGTGCAGGAGAGGGCCGGGTCTTTCCTTTGTTCTGTATCGCTGGGTTTCCTTACCAGGGATGGGCTCGGGCTCCTGTTTGGTCAGAAACAGCAGTGTGGCGGGTGGGATGACAAACCTGCTTGGAGGTGCTGTCCAGCAGATGCGAGAACATTGAGGGTCTTTGCGAGAACTTGGTGGTGAGCTGGCAAAAGGGGCCTGAGGCTTGGGTTGGAAGCACCCAGGCTGGCCACCTTGACTGGAGGAGCACCTGATGTGTGTCACCCAAGTGTGAAGTTGGTGTGCAAAAGTGAACTGGAAACAAGGTGGCTCATTCTACTCTTCCAGAACCTGAGGTATGCCTGGGGCTCTCTTCAGCCTCTTTGGCCTTGGGGAGGTACACAGTTGTTTTTCTGCAGAGAGCTGGCCAGGCAGGGAGACCTCCCAAGCTTTCCCCTGCTCTTCCTTCTGAAAGCTGACTGTGGCCTGGTGGTCCATGGCCTGCTGCTGCAGCCCTCATCTAAACAGGTGTGCTACATCCTCTTGCCCTCAGATGTCCAGCCCACCCTGTTCTATGCCCTGGATTCCTCTGGAGAGCCTCACACACCTCCATCTGGCTGTCATCGGGCTAGAGGCCTACCTATGGTACCCTTACACCTAGCATGGCTGGCTGGGATGGGGCTTCAAGGGAATTTGGGGCACCTCTAGGGGCTGCTGGGTCACAGCTGAGCCCATTTCCCTGGGCAGGCCTCCTAGAGGCAGGAGGACTTAGGGAGTGTGGGGAACCAGAGGGATGTGGGGATCTGAAGGGATGGTTGCCTCTGCTCAGGTCTCACCAGCCCAGCGCCCAGAGGATACAGCAACTGGAGAGTCCAGAGGTGTCCATTGGTTGGCCTGAGGTGGAGGAGGTAAGGGATGGTCTGGGTTGCGTGAGATGGTTGGCCTTGGCCCTGGCTCTTGGGCTGCTCTCTAAGGTCCAGCAGGGTGGGTATGGCTACACCAGCAGTTAGGGCTAGGGTTCCCCAGGGCACACCTGGGCCACCCATGCTCACTCTCCCCAGGCCCTGGTGCTCCTGCAGCTCTTTGCAGATCTGGACGTGCTACTGGTAGCCTCATGGCAGGAACTGAGTCAGCATGTGTGTGCTTTCACCAAGGCCCTTGCCCAGCGCCCCTCCAAGTGTGTGCATTGTGGGGATTGGGGGCGGGGGGGCCGGGGAAGGGGGCTCTACTGAACTGGCTGCAGGAGAGAAGATTCCAGAAGCCTCCCGGTTCTCTCCTGTTTCAGGCAGTGCCGGGACACCCAGGCCTTTGCCTTCTGTACAGCAGGGCGCTGGGCTTCAGGCCAGCGAGTGTCCAGAGATGGTTCAGGGCTCCGAGGAGTGTGGTGGAAGCAGATCAGGCAGTTTAACCGGGTCAGCCCAGCTGTGGCTGATGCCATTGTCACTGCCTTCCCCTCCCCCCGCCTTCTGCAGCAGGTGAGCCCCACGTATGTACTCTTCCTGCCCAGATGTGGACCCCAGGTCAGAGGCTACCCTGTTCATGCCTGTGTCTGCCCTAGGCATTCTCAGCCTGCAGCACGGAGCAGGAGCGCCTAGGTCTTCTGGCTGACCTCCCTGTGAAGGCCCGAGAAGGCAGGCAGCCCCGCAGGGTGGGGCCTGACCTCTCCCGCCGCATCTGTCTCTTCCTGACCACTGCCAACCCTGACCTTCTGCTGGATCTGGGCTTCTGACCACGCCTGCAGGAGGATCCATGGGACTTTTTCTCGTGCCCATCAGCAGGACAGAATGCAGCATCCCCAGGGATTGAGCAGACCCTGAGGGGCAGGCAAGGGGGTGGGACCCCAGGGAGCTTACTTTCAGCCTGAGGTGGATTTGGTCCCTGGTGGTCAGGTGTGAGCTCCAGGGGAGGGGAGGGAAGAGGAGGAGTGGAGGAAGCTCTATGATGAACAGAAGGGCATGGTTTCCCACAGCCTGGAGGCAGCAGAGACCCTAGCTGCTGCCTACAGGAGCCTGGTGGAGGACTGCATGCCTAACTGGACAGTCAAAAGGTACAGGGCAACACCCAGTGCCACAGCCACTCAGAGGCTTGAAGTAGGGCACTCCCAGGGAGGAGCAGTGAGATCTTGGGGAAGAGAGCCAGGCTGACAGAAGCAGCCAGACTCAGCAGAAAGAAAGCCACAGATGCTGGGCAGCCCAGGCCTCAGTATGGATCTTTAATCTTTCAGCCGAATGGAAGTGACACATAAACCCTACGTCTGTTACAGTCGTTGAAGGCTCTGTGACAGGAGCAACAGCTGGCAACATGCAAAGCCAAGTCAGGAAAAAGCCAAGGCCCTGTGGGACAGAAAGAGCTGAGCTCCGGCTGGACCCTCTCTTCCCAGGGCAGCCCGGCCTCCAAGGCTCACAGTCTGGGTCAATTGCTTGGGCTGCTGCTCCTCGGACACACACACACAGGGGCTCAAAGGACAGGAGTGGTTGCTTCCCCACCCAGCATGGGCAGCAGAGTGACCCTGACTCTTGGCAGCCTAAGTCCTGGAGGCCCTGCAGAAAGGACTGTCCTGGCCTTGGGAGATGGGGCACAAATCCAGGCAGACAGCCCAGCTCTTCCATCTCCTGCCCTGGATGAGGCTGGGAGGGAGGAACAGAATGTCGATCCCAGCCGGGATGGCAGTTTTCAAGGGGAAGAAGTCAGGTCCGTCGGCAGCGCTTCCTCTGGCAGGGCCTGGCGTCAGGGCTGTTGGGACTGGGCCGGGCCACAGCACTGGGCGAGGGTGCAGGGGACTTACGGTGGCTGCAGTTCATACTCAAGACCCAGCCCAACTTGTTGTGCAGAACCTGCTTGAGGCCCGGGGGCAGGGGCAGACCCTCAAGGGTGTCCCCAGAGTCTGGCCTTAGCTGGCGCAGGCGGTAGCAGCACAGGTACTGCAAGGAGGTGGTGCTGGCACGGGAGCGGATCACCTTCATGCTGCTTTTGGCCGCTGTGGAGCACACCATTGGGTAGAACCTCTTGTTCTGCAGCCGAGTGGCTGCCACTCCTGAAGGGAGACCTGGCCTGAGTCCCCAGCCAGTGAGGACATGCAGGGCAGTATTTGCTGCCCAGCTCAGCCCTCCCACATCGGGCCAAGATGGCCCAGCTGAGCAGCCTGTGCAGCTGTAAGTGAGGATGCTTAAGTCAGTTCTGGTTGGTGACTCTAGCCTCTGCCCTGTCCCCACTCCGGGGACACTGGGGCCTCAGTTCCCTGTCAGCCTGACCCCCACCCAGATAGGCCTGGCATGGAGCACTGGCCTCAGAACCTCCGTGTGCCATGCATATAGACGCCTATCGCCATTCAACATCCTCACCTATGCACTTCCTGTTCTTAAAGAAGGTCAGCGTCCCATGCCAGGTGTCCAGGTGCACACCGATGATGGAGCCCTGGCCAAAGCGCGAGGAGAAACTCGTCTTGTCACCCTTGTGGTGCAGCAGCCCTGGGGACAGCAAGGTGGGGTGAGTCTAGGAGGTGCCCTCTGCCCTCTGCAGCCCACCCTCACCCAGGCTACACGTACCAGTGTAGGAGAGGCCCCAGCTGTCCTCATCTCTGCCAAGCAGGCTGCAGAATGTGTGGTGGTACTTGTCCAGGTCCACATCTGATGTCCCAATGCCCACCATCTGCAAACAGTGGGGCTAGGCATAGAGGTGCCTGGAGCCAGACACCATGGCAGCTGCCCTCAGGCTGGGAACCACTTACCATGTCAGTGCCATAGACAGGTGAGGTCATCTTGATCTCCCAAAAGTGCTGGCCTTCTCCTAACTCCTTGGTGCCCCGGATGGCTGCAGTACCACAGCTGTACTCCATGTGGAAGCTGACCTTGCGGTTGTCACAGCTCAGCAAGGTGGCTGAGGACTTATTCAGGTCATCCCAGACCCAGTCAAAATCTGCAGGATGGAGAAAAGCCCAGGCTGGGCACTGCCCAGAGCCCGTGGGCCACCCTGGAGGGCTCACCCCTGCTTGTGAGCCTTGTAATCTGCCCCTACCCTCCTCTCAGGTGCCTGCGAGCTACACACTCACACTCATCTTCCTCCCCACAGCGACAGTCCTTGCTGCGGTGGGTTGTGTGTAGGCTGCTGCAGAAGGCTGCCTCAGTCTGGCCCTCACAGTCACAGAAAGACTCCCCTGTCACAGGCAAGGCGCTGGCGATGGATGGCGGCAGGGAGGAGCACTCAGGGTCAGAATCCGAGTCACTGTGCTGGTAGGGAAGGATAAGCTGTTCCCAGCTGTTGGAGGGACCCCTTCATAGGTCCCACTGCTCTGGTCCACCAAGGGCAGGGGTTCCCAAGTGACTCACCTCACAAGTCTCATTCCTGCACAACCGGAGGCCCCAGAGACCCAGATCCCAGTGCACACCTAAAAGTTCTGCCCTCCAGCTTTCTCCAGGCAACTTCTGAATCTCAGATTAACCACTGGCCCCAGTGGATACTACATAGGGCCCCCCACAGCATGGACCCCCAGGCCTGTCTTGGATTGTAGTTCTCTTATCATCTGAGGGAGGCAAAGGGTGACAACAAGGCCCAGTGGGGTTGTGCTGCTGCTTCAAGGAAACGTTCAGTGGGGCCTCCACCACCACTTCCAAGTGGGCACCGTCCTTGTGGCTTGAGCTCCCAAGTTCTGGGGGTTTGTGCCAAGTGGCACCAATGCCAAGCCAATCATGTTCTAGCCACCAACTAATCCCAGGCTCCTTGAGAGATTGGACAGAGAGTTTTTGTATTGCTGCCACCCAGGTCATTGGCTCTGGGCTCCAGGGCCAGTCTGTCTAATAAAGACTCAAGTAGCCTCTGTCCAGCTCAGTAGCCCCCAACAGCCCTCCTTGGGTTCACAGTGGCTCAGGAACCTCTGATGAGAGCAGGCCCTGCCACACCACAGGCTCCTACTCCTGCTGCCCGTGGCGCTCTTGCTGCATCAGTCCCATCCATCCTCTTGGCCTGCCACCACGTCCAGTTGTGTGGGCCACTGCTGCAGGAGCTGTGCACTCACTGCCTGTCCCCTGGATGGAAGTGTTGGGCCTTTCTCCTCACTACACTTCTCTAAAGCTCTCCGTTGTCCTACTCCATGAACCCACACCCCACGGCTCCTGGGACGGGGCCTTCCGAGCTCCGTTACTCAGGGCCTGTAGTGATCAAGCGGATGAGGTCACTGGCTTCAGACACCTGGGCAGCAACTTCCAAGTACAGGCCCTTGGTCTGCCCCGCAGACACCACAGCAACCACAGCACAGGAAGCTCCATAAGCCCTGAGGTGAACATGAGGGGTCCTGTCCCCAGACAACTAGCCAAGAGGAGTGGATTCCACTGGCACAGAAAGTCTGCCAAAGCAGCCCCACTGAGTTCAGAACACGGGGTCAAGCTGACTTTCCACGGGAAAGGGACAGACCAGACTTGATACTGGCCCTTAAATTGCTGAGGCAGGAAGGGAGGTGCGTTGTTCAGCCTAACGCAGTGCCTAAAATGACCGTCGGCCACCTGCCTACATACATGTATTACAGGCCCATTAGGTGACAGAGGACAAGCAGCATGCGTGTGTCACAGCCCAGCCCAGACACTACCCACATCCCACAGCAATGAGCCCCTGTGAGGCAGGAACAGAGGTGGACAGACTGCTCCGGGCCACGCGGTCGAGGAGCACTGCAGGCATGGCAGGAATGCAGCCTGGTCTTTCTAGCTCCAGAGGCCTTAGGAACGGACCAGGACACTGCAGACTGAGTCAGTACACTGACGGCTTCCGTTTCTCCTCCACAGCACGGTAGTTCCACGGGACTCAAGGAGGAGCAACTCCAGCTACAACCCACAGCTGGGCCAGAACTACAGTGCAGGGACACAGCTAGTGTCACGGCTGTGACAGCAGGAAACAGAGGCAACCCAGGGCACAGCCAAACTCTTCGTCCAATTTCAGGGATACCTCAGAAATTCAACTGAGAAGCCATCTCCCAAGGGCCTCCTACTGCGCCCAGCCACAGCAAAGATCAGCACAGAACCCTGAGCACAGTTTGACACCCCCTCATTCCTGGGCCTTCCTAAGCTTAGACAGTCTTCAAGCAGGGAAGGCATACAGGTCTGCTGGATGCCATGGCTCACACCTGTAATCCTAGCTACTTGGGAAGCTAAGATCTGGAGGATCTAAGCTTGATACCAGCCTGGGCAAACAGTTCAAGAGACACCATCTTCAAAAAATAATGAAAACAAAATGGACTGGAGGTGTGGCTCAAGCAGTAGAGTGCCTGCATCGCAAGCACGAAGCTCTGATTTCAAACCCCAGTCCCTCCCAAAAAAGAATCACAGGTGCGTTTTACACTGGTCTGTGAATGTGAAGTGAACATCTGTGCTGCAGAACAACTATCCAAAAGGGCACATACCAAGTAAACAACGACTACCTCTGAAAACAGGCCGAGCAGACAGAACAGGGAATTTGCTGCACATCTGACCAGCAGCAGCCTCTCTGTGCACACTATTCACAAGACAGGACAGGGAAGATCCCATGTCTGTTCTGAGGTCCTTTCTCTCCCACCTCTCTCTCTCTCTCTTTCTCACATGCACACACCAGATCTTGTGCCTTGCTGTGCACGACTTATCCAGGAAGAGACAGTCTGGTGCCCTGGATCAGGACCATCTTTCTCTTAGCCACCCCATCCTGCCGCTGAGACCTACCTGCCCGTCAGAGTCATAGCCCCAGTCACTGGTGCCTGCCAGAGCCATGGTCCGGGTGTCTGCGTCTCGGCGGGCTGCACTGAGGACAAAGTGCCATGCCCTGCTGCTCCGGGGGCGTCTGGCCATGGTGAAGAGGACCTGGAAAAAAACAAGCACTGAGCCAGGGAGACATGCAGCACACAAGAACGGATCCCACAACCACCCGACCTGGCACGCTGCCCCTGGCACTTCTGGGCTCCAACAGACCCACCACGGATGGCGACTCCATGACCTCGAGGGTCCACAACTCTTCACACACCCATACCTTGCTCCAGTGTCTGAGCACCTCAACCAGACCCAGGGATATGGTGTGAAGCACCAGCCAGACACCCATGACTGGAGGGAGAGTCCACTCAGGAGCCAAGCTGCCCCTCGGCGTGTCACACCTGACCTGCTCCTCCTCCACTGCCCAGTTGGACAAATGGCATCTCCAAAGTCCAGTTCCTCATGCCAGAAACAGTCACCCCATCCCTGACACTCCCCACACCCGAGGCTGTCCTGCATCACCAGGGGACCCACCTCTGCCTCCTGGACCGCACGGTTCCTCTTCTGCTCAGCTTCCCTCACCAATACCCAGCTCTCTCTTTTGAAACGACCTTAACGTGCTCAGGGCTTCCCTGTGTTCCTGGGGAGCTCTGGGGCGGGGAGGCCTCCTCCACTTTCCGAGAGGGCCGCCCGGATCCAGTGACCAGTTCTGCCCGAATGCCTCCCGACCCCTGCAGACCCCGCGTCCAGCCCGGCTTGCCCTCTGGACTGCCCCACCTCGCCCCGGCCTCCCGCACAGGGCCTAGGGGCCCGCACGGCCCGAGGCTGCGCGCCACACGGCCGCACAGCAGGCGCCTGTGATGTACGCCCAGTGAACGAGCCGGTGGGGCTGGCCGGGGTCGCGGCCGGCTGGGCTCGGCCACTGCGGGGCCGTCCGGGAGGCTGCTTCCCACGCCGCGAGCCCGCCGATCTCGGCTTCGGGCGACGCTGTCGGCAGTGCCCGATGCCGCGGCCGCCGCCAGGCCTCCCTGGGGAACAAAGGCTGGCGGGCCTGGCCGCCCACAAGGTCAACGCGCCGCCCGCAGGGGCCGGGCCGGGCCGAGCGCCGCTCACCTGCCGCCGCCGCCGCGCTCCGCGGGCGGTGACCCACTTTCCGCCCGGGCCTGGACGTAAACAATCCCCGCCCCCCCCCCCCCCCCCCGCGCCGCATTGGCCCGGAGGTGGCGGGCGGACGCTCCTGGACGGGCCTTGGCGAGGGGGCGGGTCTCGAGGGACAGACTTGTTGTCCAGAGGCTGCGGGACCTGCCAATCATAACCTGACTTTTCCACTGGTCACAGCTCAGGCTGTCAGAGAGATGCTCGCACGACTATTGGACGCGAGGCACGGAAGTGAGTCCAGCTCCGTTACATCATCCGCGCCGGAACCTGTGCGCACGGGAACTCCTCGGACGATCGGATTGGCTGAGAAAAGCGGGGCCGGGGACGGGCTCGCGCCGCCATTGGCTCAAAAGGTCCTCGGTCGGCTGGAGGGTTCGGAAGGAAGCCGCGAAGCTCGGCTGGCGAAGGCATGGAGGCGTCCGCGGGTAAACTTGCGGGGTGGTGGCTCTTGCGCGCGATCGGGGTGGGGAACGCGGAATCTGGGACGCCTGTGACTGGCTTGGGCGATGGCCAGGGACACGGGTACGTCCCGTGGCTGTCCTCGTCTGCTCGGGTGAGCGCTGGTGACGGTGGCGGAGCCGTGTTCTCAGAGCCGCCCACCTCCCCCCGGTCTGGAGGCCCCGGGCCGCCTCTCCGGACCGCAGGGTGTGGGGTCTGCCCTCCCGCACGGGCGCCACGCGGCGCTGACAAGGCTCCCAGGTTCCCCTGTGGCCTGTCGCCGTAGCCTGGGGATTGGAGTCCCGCGCGCACGCTGCAAGCGGGAGCGGCCGGATGCGTCCCCATTTAGTGACCGCTTCGTAAAGGCACGAGGTGCAAAAGACCTTGCAGCTGGCGTGGGGTCCGGCAGCCGCGCTTAAGTCAAGTTACTGGCGACCGCCCCGGCTCAGGACAGGAGGCTCTTAGTGACCCAGCCCTGAAGGCCGCCAGTCCAGCCTCCTAACTCCTGCTCTCCCCAGAGCCCGGGAACCTGGCAGGTGTTCAGCACATCGTCCTTGTCCTCTCGGGAAAGGGCGGCGTCGGGAAAAGCACCATCTCCACCGAGCTGGCCCTGGCGCTGCGCCACATAGGCAAGAAGGTGAGGCTGCTGTGCGGGCTGAGCCCATGGCCTGACCAGTACCCGAGGCCAGGTAACAGCTCCCGCCGCGAGGCCCTTCTCCTGAGTCCCTGCGGCCGCCTTGGCTCCATGCAGGCCTGGCAGGTTTCCGTCCACCTGACGGTGCCCGAGCCTTCGCATCACCTCCTTGCAGGTGGGGATCCTCGATGTGGACCTGTGTGGCCCGAGCATCCCACGCATGTTCCAGGCACAGGGCCGGGCCGTGCACCAGTGTGACCGCGGCTGGGTGCCTGTCTTTGTGGATCAGGAGCAGAGCATCTCCCTCATGTCTGTGGGCTTCCTGCTGGAGAAGCCGGATGAGGCCGTGGTGTGGAGAGGTCCCAAGAAGAACGGTAATAACGAAACAAGGGGGCAGCCTTCCAACGTGCCCAGCCTCCAAGGCGACCTGGGGCCGCCCCCCCTGCTTTCTCATGGCCACTGACTTTGAGTGAAGTTGGGGAGGGTCCAGACCTGGCTAGTGGACTCCCGCTAGTGTCCACAACGTTCAGGGGCAGGCTCCGAGGGATGAAGTAAGACCGTGAGTGAGTGAGCGGCCCTAAGAAGGGAGCTCCAGCAAGCTTGGCGTTAGTGCGAACCCACCCGCCATAGTGCCCCGTCTCCCAGTTTGGAGTAGAGGGGTCCGATCAGCTCAGTATGTGGGGTTGGGCGTGGTTCCTCTGCAGAGCAGGTGCCATCAAACGCTGCCCTGATTGCAGTGGGAGGCTGCTGAAGATAAGCAGCACGCACAGGCCTGCTCCTGGACACACAGGTGAGGGGCTCCACAGCGCCCTCCCCTGCAGGCTGACTTCTTGGGGCTTTCTGGGGTCTTTGCAGCACTGATAAAGCAGTTTGTGTCTGACGTGGCCTGGGGGCAGCTGGACTATCTGGTAGTGGATGCCCCCCCAGGGACCTCTGATGAGCACATGGCCGCTGTGGAAGCCCTGCGCCCCTACCAGCCTCTGGGGGCCCTTGTGGTCACCACACCACAGGTACCATCAGTGCCTGTCCATCTCCCTGCGTGTGTGGCCTTGCTGGGCTGAGGCAGGCGGCTTCCGGCTGACCAGCCTGTCCTAACTCGATCTCCAGGCGGTGTCTGTCGGGGATGTGAGGCGGGAGCTGACCTTCTGCAGGAAGACAGGGCTGCAGGTGCTGGGGGTTGTGGAGAACATGAGCGGCTTCGCCTGCCCGCACTGTGCTGTAAGTCCTGGGAGGTGGTCAGTGCTGTTGCGGGATGGGCAGGTGGGTCAGGCAGAGACTTCCAGGAAGTGGGGGTTCCCTCCAAGGAAGGCCAGCAAGGATGTGGGCTGAAAGGGTGCTGTCACCACCCAGCCTCACTCAGGGTCCAGCCCTGGTGAGCTACTCTGTGAGCTGCACCCTCATGGCTCCTGTTTCCTAGGAGTGCACCAACATATTCTCCAGAGGTGGCGGGGAGGAGTTGGCCCAGCTTGCTGGAGTTCCCTTCTTAGGTAAGTGCCAAGACAAGCGGTCAGGTTGGGGTCTGACTTCCTCCTTACCTTACCTTTCTCTGCTCTGGGTGGATCTGACTGTGCCCAAGTGCTGGAGGGCAAGCCACAGGTGCAGTGTCTTTTTGTCCTCCTCGTGCAGCTGACACGAGGCCCTGGTACTTGCTCATCTTGGCTGCCCACCACCCAGCTGCAGTTATGGGTGTACCTTTGTTGGGAACCCTGAGGACCTCACTGCTTGTCCCTACACAGAGTGGGTGTCCATGAAAGGCAGGACTTGGCTATAGGCTCCTGGCAGCAAGGTGGCATGTGGACATATCACGACACCACCATCTCCTTTCTGGCATCTTCTGTTGCAGGCTCTGTGCCCCTGGACCCTGAGCTCACCAGGAGCCTGGAGGAAGGCGTGACTTCATCCAGGAGTTCCCAAAGAGCCCTGCATTTTCTGCACTCACCTCCATAGCCCAGAAAATTCTGGAGGGGACGTCCACTCTACTTTCCTGACACTGCCCCACAGCTGCCTCCTGGTGCTGCTATGGGCTCTACTCACAGCCTCTAAGAACTTTCAGAGCAGAAGTCCTGGGTTTGGTTCCTGCATCCGGCACAGCTTGTTCCAGGCAGCTCTCTGTGCAGAAGTCTTCCCCTCTCCCCAGCCCAGCCCATGTTTGGTGTTTTGGTGGCCTCTTGGGCAGAGCTTGCTGATAGCAGCTCCACCTCACTGGTCTGTGGCTAAGAGGACAACTCAGGTCCTGGTACCCTGAGATGGTGACAGCCTCAGCCACTGGCCCACAGGCTTCATCCCAACTCTGGACACGTTTGTACCCTATGGCAGGCTGCTCCCAGCAGCTCACCAGAATTTGGCTGTCCTCAAGTGACCCTGGGCTTCCAGCACCCAGGGGCCATGATTCTCTGCTAATGGAATGGGTGGACCTGGGCACATCTAGTAACATTAGAGGAACTTGCCATTAAATCTGTCACACTGTCGTGGACAGTCTTGGACTTCCATTGTCAGCTGTGAGACTGCTTTTGCCTCCTGACATTGCGGTGCTAAATTAGCCTGTTAAGTGTCCGGGCGCCTGGGTACTCGGTGAAGATGTGTTTGCATGGCGGTGGGGGAGTGTTTGGGGTGCTGACCAGAAACCTGTGGGTAAGCACACTGTGCACCGCCTCCCTGTGCCACACCCCATGGGAGACCTGAGGCCGAGCCTGAGACCAGAGGGTATGAATGAAGTGTGAGCCAGGGGTCCCAGGTTTCCTTACAAACCTGTTCCAGGAAGCAGGCTGGTGGCGTGATTCGTATTCCTTCCAAGGGTAACTGCAGCCTTCAGAGGAGACTTGGGACTCGGGGATCCTGCAGCTGTGCTCCCCTCATCCTCCCACGGGTCAGCACAGGCTCCGATTACACCCCTCCCCCAGCACCAGTCGCTCTGCCCAGCGCTGGGCAGCACTGTGACCACCATCTGCAGCTGCACTTAGGCTGTCCTGAACCAGGACACCTGTGAGGACACAGCCTGGTCCCGGCAAGGTGCCCTGAAGAGGAGGGACATGATACAAGGTTTCAGGAGGACCTGAGTAAGTGGCACGGCTCCTTTCATGGCAGCAAGTGTCCTGGGGGGGGTGGGGCTAAGTGGCAACTGTGAGGACCCAGAGGAAGCACAGGGTGCAGAATCTGGGCTGGGCCAGGGCAGTGAGGTGGGGCGTGTGTACAGTTTAGTGCTGGCTCCCTGGACCATCAAGGCACAGGCTCTGGGCTTGGGCTGAGTAAGACAGGATGGAAATGGGGCAGGGCAAGGGATGGGGACTGCAGGTGATGCCCTCCTCAAGTTGAATTTCCAGTCACAGGTTGTGCTTCTTGTTTACTTTTAATCTTTGCCAGCAGGAATGGCTGCTGAGTTTCCACCCTCCTGGTGAGGCCCTTGGGCACCTGCTCATGCCCCCTGTCCTGAGCTCAGGCCACAGAGCTGCCAGGACTGTCCTCCAGAAAGTGAACAACCCAGGACCTGTTCCCCAAGAGCTGGGGACAAGCTCATCATTCTGGGGACAGTGAGCCCCTCGGCAGGCCAGGCAGGGGAACCAGGGTCAGCAGTGTGCAAAGTGGACCTCGCCAACATCCCGCAGATCGAGGCCTGAGACGTTGGCAGGGCCAGCGCAGGTGATGTTATTGTGTGTATACATGGGCTGGCAGTCGTCCCCCTCACAGATAGCCTGGACAGAGCGGGGCACAACACCAGGGTTCTGCAGGGCCAAGTCACGCAGAGCCTTGAGGGGACAGTGGCAGTCCCAGGGGTTGCCCTCCAGCCACAGGCGCTCCAGGCCAGGCGGTGGCACAAAGGTGTGCAGGGAGTTGTTCCTGAGGTTGAGGTAGCGCAGGCGTCCCAGTGGCGAGAACAGGCCCTCAGGGAGCGCCTCCAGGCGGTTGTGTGAGACGTCCAGCCAAAAGACCCTGTGCAGGGGGCCCAGGTGGTCCATGGACAGCACCGACAAATGGTTGCCAGAGAGAAGCAGGTACTCCAGCTGGCCAAGGCCCTGGAAGAGCCGGCGGGGCAGGTGCGTGAGCTGGTTGGAGGTGAGGTCGAGCTCCAGGAGCTCGGGTAGCCCCGCCAGGCTCTGCTCCTCCACACTGGAGATGCCATTGCCCCTGAGGAAGAGCCTGCGTAGCCCCGTGAGGCCAGTGAAGGTGTGCAAGCGGACACGGCCCAGGCAGCTGCTCTCTAGGTGCAGGCTGTGCAGCTTGCCCAGGCCCTGGAACACCTGCTCTGGGAGGCTCCGCAGACAGTTGCCTGAGAGGTTCATGACGGCCACGTTGAAGAGGCCAAGGAAGGCGCCCACCTTGACCTCCAGGATCTGGTTGTCATTGAGCGTCAACACCTCCAACTGCCCCAGGCCCTCGAACATCTTCTCCCCCAGCTGCCGGATGCGGTTGTGGCCAAGTTGCAACTCCTCCAGGAAGCGCAGGTCCTTGAAGGTGCGAGGCCGCAGGCTGGTGATGGCGTTGTGCGCCAGACGCAGAACATGCAGGCCCAGCAGGCCGGGGAAGGTGTCCTCCAGCAGGCCGGCCACGCGGTTGTGGGACAGGTCCAGCCAGCGCAGAGCCTTCATGCCCAGAAAGGCCCCGGGGGCCACAGCTGTGATGAGGTTGCGGTCCAGGTAGAGCTTCTGGAGCCTGGGCAGCTGCACGAAGACATTGGCCTTGACGCTGCGCAGTGCGTTCCTGCTCAGGTCCAGCTCCCGCAGCTCGCCCAGGCCGCAGAAGAGTGCCGGCTGCAGGTAGGCCAGCTTGTTGCCAGCCAACACCAGCTCGTGGAGGTTGCCCAGGCCCTGGAACACGGTGTCAGGCAGCACCACCAGACTGTTCCAGCCAAGGTTGAGGTCCCAGAGGTGGGCGAGGCCCCGAAAGAGGCCCTCCTCCAGCCGGCCCAGAAAGTTGTTGCCGAGACTGAGTGAGGCCAGGCCAGGTGTGTGTGCAAACACACCGGCTGCTAGGCTCCGGAGCCGGTTCCGCTCCAGGTGCAGGTGATACAGGTTCTGAAGGCCCAGCAGTGCCTGTGGCGCCAGGTTGCTCAGCTGGCTACCCTGAAGGTTGAGGAAGTCTAGGCTGGAGAGGTTCCTGAAGGCTCCCTGGGGGATGGAGGTAAGGTTGTTGCCATCCAGCCACAGGGCCTTGGTGCTATCCGGGATACTGTCTGGCAACTGAGTGAGGTTCCTGCCACTGCAGAAGACACTGAGCTCATCTGTGTAGTCATCATAGCTACAGGTGCAGACGGCTGGACACTGTGGGCCCTCTGTGTCCACTGGTGCTCCAGGCTCTGCTCCCTCCAGGCTCCGGGGGCCCAGTGCTGCCCAGGAGACCAGCAGCACTGCCAGGACCAGGCCTCCTGTGGGGAGAGGGGCTTGACCAGGTGGCATTGAGAGGGCTCTGGTTTGGTGTCTGTAATGTAAGCAAGACCCAGGCCTCTGCCATAGCAAGCAGAGATTGTCGTTTGCAAACTGAGGCATAAGGTCACCCTACTGAGATGGCCAGCAGACACTGGGTGATGACCAAGTCTTGGGGCTGGAAGCTGGGTCCCTGTGGAACCAGCAGGTGGTGGTCCCCGTATCGCTACAGCTACAGCTTGGCTCCCCAGCTGCATAGGCACGGGCAGCCTGGGCCCCTGTCCCTTAGTCCATGAGGCAGCCTGCATCACCTGAGGCGCAGGCTCAGGCCAGGCCAGGCTGCCACGTTGGCCAATATCTGGCCGTTTCCAGAACATTCTGGAGCAGACCTGGACGGGGAATTTACGTGTTGTCCTCAATGGCTGGTCGGTGAGTTAGGTTCTGGGCTGGCAGAAGAGTAGGTACAGGCCTCAGTGACCCAGCTAGCGGCCTTCCCAGCACAGTGGCCCAAACCTCCACTGAGTGCCCAAGAATTCTGAGCACCATTGGGCCTACCCTGCTGTGACAAGGTAGAACAATCCTATAGTGTCACTTGGTGGAGTTGGCCCAAGTGTCAGGGTGGCATGTTCTCCCTACCCACCCACCCAGGCCACAGAAAGAAACAGGCTAGGAAGCATTGGGCTCAGCCTGGTAGATGGTCCCTTCCCGGCATGGGTTGTGAGGGACACCCAGCTCCTGTCCCTGTACGTGTTGCACACAGGGCTTGAGCACTTGTTCCCTTCTTGCCATCAAGTGAGAAGGGAACAGAGACCCTCTGGAGTTGAACCCTCTGGAGCTTCCCCCAGTGGGCTTAGGGCCATGGATTGGCTACCCCCAGACCAAGTGGCAGGGGACATTTGAGCACCTCACCTCTCCTCGGGGCCATCCCTCGTGCAGAGCAGGTTGCAGGCGGGCAGTGAGCGAGGGCGGTCTGCTGGGCTGGGCGGTCTGCTGGGCCGGGCGGTCTGCTGGGCCAGCCGCTCCTGCCCTCTGGATTTCCCCACTGCTGGGGCAGCCTGTCAGCCAGCCCTGCCCCACACTCCCAGCTCCGTTAACCCCTTTCGTGCCGGGTTGCCAGCACCAAGCCACAACTCCCTGAGGTTGCAGACGATGCAGGGAAGGTGCTAGGGGCCTCGTCCACCCAAAGCCTCTTTCAGGATCCAGGGTGGGCTGGAGTGCAGCTCTGGGGTCCATTGGTCTGTCCCCAGTGACCCCTGTAGGGTACCTGGAGTAGGAGGCGTGGGCAGGGGTTCCCCTTGAAGCCATCTTTAAAGGGCTAGCACTCAATTGCAGCATTGGGGCCCCAGTGCCCCGGTAGCTCTTGCCATAGGCAAGAGCACCCTAGGCAGCTGCTGGGGTCTTGGGGATCCCTTTCCTCACCCACAGGCAGCTGCGTCAGGGGTTAAATGGGTGCTGCCATGTTTCCAGCGCCCCGCCCATCCGTCCAGTGCCACCTTGTTTCCCTAACGCTCCGCCCGACTGCCCGGCACAGTGCCCAAGCCGGGGTTTCCTAACAGCCTAGGTGGGATCTGCCGTTGGTGCTGCTGGATCCAGGAGGCCATCGAGGGTTCAGCCTTGGCCCTCCTGTGACCTCAAGGTCAGCAAATGTCTGGCTACTGCCCCTCCCCCAAGATCTCTTCTAGGAATACCTGGCAGGGCCTCCAGCCACCTCATGTTTGCTTTCCCTTGGGACTGTCCAAGGCAGGTGGGAAGACAGTGGGCAGCATGTCCCTTGCTGTCCTCCAAGGCAACAAGGGTCCAGCCAGCCATTACTCCATGTGTGCACAGGGACCACAGGGACAGGCGCCTAGTGCAGTGGAAGAAGCTGGCCCTTGGCTCCATTCGGGCTGCTCAAACCACAGCTTGTCTTCTTCCTCCAGGGCCTGAGCAGGTGTGACCTGGCGATCACCCCACACCCTCTGCAGACCCTTCCTCCAGCTCTGTCCCTTTGTCTTGCCTAGACCAGTGGGAATATGTGTTCACAGAAGGAATCAAAAAGGCAAAACCGGGTCTGAGGAGGGGTGGCTTGTCCGGGCTTAGGGGACCCTCCGGCCCCCAGAGTCCCTGTGAGGCAGGAGAGGAAGACAGGTATGGGGTGGGAGCAGGGGCCTGCAGCTCCTCTCTGGCCCTGTCTCCAGGGCATTTTTGCAGGTCATTCCTCAGCCTCTCTTCTGAGAAATTATAGATCCAAAGGGAGAAAGTCCATACGCAGAGCCCACAGAGCAGTTTACACAGCAGAAAGTGCGGCCTCAGCAGGGCTGAGGGGCAGCGGTTAAGCCTCTTTTGAGAACAGGGGCCAGGCTGGAACAGTCCCCTCGGGCCCCAGGTGGCCTGCAAAGGGGGTGGTGCCGTTGCCATTTTACTGTGGGGTGGGGGAGAGGCTGCAGTACCTTCCCATCCAGCCCAAGTGCAGCTCTGTGTGGTGGGGAGGTCCGTCCCATGTCAGCCTCCAGCCTCCTGAACTCCTTGGCCACTGAAGAGGACACTTTCCCCACCCCCACCCACCCACCCTGGTCCCTCAGCAGCCCATGCCAGCCTCGGCCGGTCACACACCCAGCTCCTTTATTCAGGATGGCCACCCGGGTGTCTCCCTGAGGGGCTGTGCTCATTTCTGCAGGTGCTTTGGTAATGCAGGGTGTGCTGGCTTCCTCAGACGTTATCTGAGTGGGATGCATCTTGTCCCTTTGTCCTCACTCCCACTGTGGGGCACACTTGTCCATTCTGCCCACAGCTCCTTCCCTTGGGGCTGTTCCAGCAGTGTTGCTGTGGACCAGGGCCGTGAGGCCTGTGGGGACAGGACTTAGGCTACCGGGCAGTGCGGTTCAGACTTGGGGTGCGTTCATCCTCACCAGCACTCCTGTGCTGCGCTGTTTTGACAACTCATGGATGAGTTGTATTTTGTGTCTTCTTAATCCCTAGTGACAGCAAGCATCTTGTCACAGGCTGGTTGGCTACCAGGTCCTCCTGGTGCTTTGACAGCTCACTCTTACAGGTATTGCCAATCTCTGGTTTCAAGTCTGATTTGTGATTTTTTTTTTTTTAAATCCACATGCAAGTCTGTGAAGCAGGTCAAGTGTTTTCTCTTGCACTGTAATTAACCTTTCACTCTATGGTTTTGGGGTTTTCCCCCCACTCTGTTGGGGACCGCCAGCATGCCAGGCAAATGCTCTGCCCGAGCCACACCTCCAGCCCTTAGCCATTTTCCAGGCAGTTTGCTTTATCAGGCTTTGTGGTTTTGAGTTTTGCGTATGAACTTGAACGTGTTCTCTTGACCCTCACAGTCACTATTTTATCTTCCATGTTGTCACCCTCAGCCCACCTTTTCTCTGCTTGCAGAGTACAGGGTGGATGCAGGCTTCGTTCTGTGGATCAAGCCGGCCTCTGCACCACTAGCTAGATGGCATTGCTCTCCTGACTCAGAGGTGCACATGAGCCCAGGTGGGGCCAGGCTGCTCACTCTCCTGGACGCTGTGTGTCCTGTGCAGCAGCCAGTCAGGGGGCAGCTCAGTAACTTTTGATGTCTTGGCAGCATGACTCCTGGTCTGCTGCGTCTCCCCCATTAACTTTGAGGTAGCCATTTGGTTTCTAAAACAAAGCCAGAGCTGAGCATGGTGGTCGCAGCTGTGAGGCTGAGGCAGAAGCGATGACGCCTTCAGCATGTTGATTCTTGGGACTCAGAGACATGTGGGAAATCTCCTTTGGTTTCTCTCAATAGCGTTTTGTAGATGTCTATGTTGTGATCTTGGTACATTTTTAAAATTCTTTTCCTATATGGTTATGTTGATACGATTGTGTTTTTTTTTTTTCCTCAATTTTCTGTCTAGGCTGAAATTGTTTTGTAGAAGTATATTGCGATAGATTATTACCTAGCAGTGCTGCCCCTTCCCTGTATCTCTCTTCTGAAACGGCTTTATTCGTGTGTAACTTCTAGATAATAAAGCTCTCCAACATAAACATACAAGCCAGTGATTTTAGTTAATGTGTGGAATTGTGCAGCTGTCGCCACAGTCCTGCTTGGGGACACTCATGCATCCGGCTCCTATCACTGAGCAAAATACTTCTGAGGCTCTTCCACACGGAGTCAAGGATCAGTGCTTCTTTCCTTGTGGCTGAATACACTCCGTCCCATGAAGAGACCACATTTTGTTTATGGGCTTGTCATTAGCTGGGGAACACTTGGATTGTTTCCACTCTGGGGTTTCCTGTTTCTATGCTACTACTTGCATGCAAGTCCTTGTGCAGACATGTTTCCTTTGGCTTGGGTAGATTCTTTGCAGTGGAATTGCTGGTTCACATGGTTATTATGTATTTTTTTTAATTTTCCAGAGTGAGTGTATCATTTTACAAGTATGAAAATTGCAGTTCCCTGCAGTTGTGGTAATGGTGTTTGTTTTGTAGCTAGTCTCATAGTTTTTCTCTGATAGATAAAGTGGTGTAGAGTGTCTTTTCATGTGTTTATTTAGCCATTCTCATATCCTTGTGCAAATAGTGTATTCAAGTCTCTTCCCATTTTTTAAAAGTTGAATTGCTTGCGTTTCTTTTTTCGGTGGGACTGGGGTTTGAAAACTCAGGGTTTCTCATTTGCAAAATAGGCACCTCTACCACTGAAGCCACATCTCCAGCCCATTTTGCCGTACTTTAGAGATGAGGCCTCTAACTATTTGCCTGGGGTTGGCCTCAAACCTCAACCTTTCCCTCTCAGCCTCCCAAGTAGTTAGAATTACGGGTGTGAGCCTCCAGCGCCCAGCTACCGTATTCTTACAACTGGGTCATAAAACTGCATTGTGAATTCAAGACTTCATATATCACACGTTATTACACATAAGATTTACAGACACTTTTCCCAGTTTGTGGCTTGTCTGGTGTCTTTTTTTCCTCATGAAATCAATGTATTGCTTTCTTTCTTTCATGGCTCATGATTTAGGTGTCCTGTGTAAGAACTCCGCACCTAATGCCTAACCCAGAATCCCTCTGCTATGGACCTCCATCTAAAAGGTTTGGTAGCTTTAGCTCTTCACTTAGTTCTGTGATCCAACCTGTTAATTTACATGTGGTCTAAGTTCCATGTTTTTCCACATGCATGTCCGAGTCTTCGGGCCCCATTTGCTGGGAAGACAGTCCTCCCACCAACACATCATGACATCTGTGTTGGAAGTGAGTTGACCATAAACACAGGATTGCTCTAGACTCAGCTCAGTCTATCCTTGTGCCATTCCACCCTGGGTGCCTTTTGAAACAGTAGTCTATAACTTTGTTCTTCAAAATTGATTTGGCTCTTCTAGGTTCTCTGTATTTCCCCATAAAATTACACCTTTCTTGTCACTGTCTCAAAAAAAAAAAAACCTGCTGGGATTTTGATGAGGACCTGCACATCAATTTGCAGAAATCTTAGCCATGGACTTCTAATCCATGAAACATCTTTCCATTTGTTTATGTCTTGAATTTCTCTTAGCAATGCTTTGTGGTTTTCTCACACTGTTGAAGTAGTTCCTACGTAGCAGTTTTGATGCTATTGCAAATGAAATTTACATAGCATTGTTTTTGGTTTAAGATGAGATGCTGGGGGGAGAAATGAACCAAACATTGTATACACATATGAATAAAAAATTTTAAAAAAGATGAGATGTTAAGCTCATTGGCTCCAGTTGTGTGTGAATCTGTATTCCTTAGGATTTGCTACAGAGTCATGAGTAAGCAAGTGTTAAACCCGCTTTTCCAGTGTGTACACGATTGTCATTTCTTGTGCTTATTGTACTCAGTACAGTGGCAGGAGGCAGTAGTGCCCGTAGAGGGAAGCTTTCAGCTGCTCACCATGAACTGTGGTGCTAGCTCTGTTTCCTCCCATAATGCCAGAGCAGGCAGAGTAATGACTCCCACAAAGACAAAGATGTCGAACACCTACAACCTGTGAATGCTACATGGTAGAAGGCAACTGAAAGTGATAAGCTGGAGTGAGATTAAGGATTTTCTGGGTAAACCCAGGGGCCTTAAAAGTGGAAGAGGGAGCTGGGTGTCAGTGGCTCACACCTATAATCCTAGCTACACAGGAGGCAGAGCTCAGGAGGATCATGGTTCAAAGCCAGCCCCAGGCCACTAGTTTGTGAGACCCTCTCTCGAAAAACCCTTCACAACACAGGGCTGGCAGAGTGGCCCAAGCAGTCAGAACACCTTCCTGGGAAGCACGAGGTCCGGAGTTCAAACACCAGTGCCACCAAAACACTAAAAGTAGAAGAGGGAGCCAGAAGGGGGTGGGCCAGGTGGGGAGGACTTGGCCACTGTTGCTGGCTTCGAAGCTGGAGAAAAAGGCCGTGGGCCAGGGGATGTGGGTGGTGTCCAGGAGCTGAAAAGGACAGATTTTTCTTAGAGCCTTGCCAGAACACAGCCCAGTAAGCCCCACGTCTGACTTCCAAAGCTGCATGATGACAAGCTCGTGGTTTACATCTCTGAGGTGGTGATTTGTGAGCAGTGAGCACAGGCTCACACAGTTCCCTTCATCAGGCTGAGACAGCTCCTTCTGTTCCTGATTTGCTGAAGTTTTCCATGAACAAGTGTAGAACGCTGTAACAGGCTTTTCTGAATCCCAGGTAATTTTGAGTTTTATTCTTTGTTTTATTAATATTGCCTTACTGCATTAATTGGCTTTTAGAGACTGAACCAACCTTGCATTCCTGTGATAGATCCCACTTGGTCATGGTGTGTAAGAATTTTTATACCTACGTCCCTGACAAACATTGATCTGTACCTTTTGTGTGATGTCTTCCTCTGGTAGCAGAGTAATGTTAGCCTGATAAACTGAGTGGGAAGTGCTCCCTCTTCTGTTCTGAAAGTCTGAATGACTGGCACTGACAGACACACTGATGAATCCATGTGAGCCTGGGTTCTGTAGATGACTTAATTCAGTTCCTTGCTGTAAATGTATTCAGATTGTTTTTCCTCTTAAGAGATGAGGTTTTAGCCAGGCATGCCTGTAATCCCAGCAATCAGGAGGGAGGATAAGGCAGGAAGATTACAAGTTCCAGGCAAGCCTGAGCTACATAGTGAGACTTCCTCTCAAAAAAAAAAAAAAAAAAAATTGTCTTGCTATTGCGCCTCCTCTCACAGCCTTTGAAACAGCAGCCACAGGTGCAGGCCACCACTCCAGCTAGTTCTTTAGTCAATGTACATAATTTGTATCTTTCTAAGAATCTGTCTATTTCATCAAAGGCATCTGTAATCAGTCCAATTAATTTCTCCCCTTTTTTTTTTTTTTTTTTTTTTGCTATATGAGATTTGGGCCTTTGTGCCCCAGTCCAAGGCATCTCTAATTTTGTTAACTGTAATTCAGGGTTTGTCAATTTTGTTCTTTTCTTTTTTGGGGGGAGGGGAGGGGTGGCACTGGGATTTGAACTCAGGGCTTCACACTTGCTAGGCAGGCACTCTACAACTTGAGCCACTCCACCAGCTATTTTTTGTGTTGGGTATTTTCGAGCTAAGGTCTGAAGAACTATTTGCCTGGGCTGGCTTCCAACCTCAATTCCTCTGATCTCTGCCTCCTGAGCAGCTAGGATTACAATCTGCATTCCACAAGTTTTGGTATGTTGTTTTCATTTTCACTCTGACCTGTGTGCTATTTAGAAGTGTTTGTTATAAGATGTGATTTGTCCTGGAGAACTGTCTTTGGACATTGGAAAAGACTGGTGAAATAATTTGCAAACAGCAGTTATTCAGTTGCTGCTGTTCCTTTATATCCTTGCTAACCTGTAAGTGAGCAGGAACGTGGCTCAAGTGGTAGACCACCTGCCTAGCAAGTGCAAAGCCCTGAGTTCAAACCCCAGAACCACAAGAAATCTCTAATTATCATGTATGTGTGAAATTACACTTTCAATTGCCTGCCTTACCACTTTTGCCCAGAGTAGACAGGCATTCATTGCAGTCCTTAAAGGACTGTTAGAAATTAACATTGGTTGACAATTTGCAGTGCTGTAGACTTAGAAGTCAGGGGTGCTCACTGTCAGAAGAGATACACCCTTTGAGCTAGGGTGGTGAAGAGGTAGTGGAAGAAAGCATTGTGTATCCACAGGTGTGGACCATCCTGTCCTATGTCTGACAGGCACAGCAGCACTTAGCCAAGATCATCCCAAAGACACTTGCTCAGGACCATGGGCAGGAGTCGTGGAGAGCACTCGCCAGCCCCTTACTGGAAGGAGGCAGTGGACCATGCCATACAGAGGCAGCCTTTGCTTTGCTGGGTGGGGACTGTGTGCAATGGCACAGCTCCCAAGGGCCGCAGGGAACATGGGTGCTGCTCACCCCAGCCTGGGGCCTTGACAGAGGATAGTTCACGCACATCAACAGTGGACATGGCCAAGCTGAGATGTTGACCGCCCTGACCCAGGAGAGGATGCAACCTGAGGCCTGACGTGGCTCAAGACGAATGTTCTAATTCCTCAGGAGGTGATGTTTATTCCTCTGGGAAGACACACTGGGAGGCAGAGGAAGAGCCCAGTGGCCAGGGGCCAGCTGTCTGCCTTCTTCCTGCAGTGCCAGGAAAACAAGGGACACAGCCCCTTATGGAGAAAGCACCACTCGGCCGTGAGGAGGCATGTGTGTAAAGGCTGGAGATAATGTACAGTCTAAAACCAAGGTTATGGGAATAAATACTTCAACATTTTTTCTTATAAATATGCAGTAGAACATTTGATAGCATAAGCTAAGGGTGCTGAAATTAATTTAAAATTATATTAAGACTGGATTCCCCACAGGACAATTACCTAAAACTCCCAATCCCCAAACATGCTGGGAGGCGTGGCCACCTCAGTCCCGTGGCACCTTGAACTGGTCCTTCTCCCTGCGGATGGCCCTCATGGTGGTCACGGGGTCTGTCTCACCCGCGTGCTGCTGCACAGTCTTCTCCCTGCCAAGGTGAGAGGCAAGCTCAGGCTGCCACCCCCACTGTCCCTCCAGATGCCAAGAGGAGCTGGAACACTGTCACAAAGGAAATTGGTTGAGGTGGTCCCCTCTGCAGGAGATACACCAGGCTTAATGGAACCCTTCCAGCAACTTGAAGGGCAGGAAGCCACCAACTATGTGCTGTCCTGTGCTGCCCAGGGCCCCAGAGGTACAAGGCTCAAGACTGCAGCTCTTCCCCCATGCATCCTGGGACCCCGGCCCATTGCCACATTTAGGAGAGAAGGTCTGCCTCTCAGGGTAGGCACACGTTCTTGGATCACAGTGGGGTTCAGCTCTTTGCTTCAGGTGAAACCGGTCAAATCGTTAAGCAGGAACTGCTGCAGGCTGACAAGCCCCCCCCCACCCCCGCACCCCAGCCTCACCTCACTCTCATGAAGGGGTTGTATGTGAACTCTTCCGCGAGGGTGGATGGCACTGTAGGCTGTCCGAGAGCGTACTTGTCCTGCAAGAGACGGCACTGTCACACAGGGGCCAGGGGCCACACTTGGAACACCTCAGTGATCTCCACTTTCAGTCCAACAGAGAAGGCAGAGCGATGGGCCTGGATCAGCAGCTGCCTAGCCCTTCCCTGCTGTGGAGGGCCTAGTGGTGGCTTCCTCCAGAGTCTACAGTGATGAGTCTCTCCCCTGTGGCCATCTGTCTCGGATCGTGGAGGGCAAGCTTTCTCTTCATTACTGAGTTTTAACTTCACACAATAGAAGTGACGCTGAGCAAAAATGCAGAAAGCACAGAAAGAAAGAAACCACAGGCCCCCAAAACACAGAACAGTGGTCATGGCCCCTCCAGAGGGAAATGGATGTCCTCCCCCATGATCCCCCAGGGCACGTGTTACCTCCTCCCCTCCATGGCCTTAACTCCTGAGCACCATGGACAAGGGCAGAGAAGAGGATGCCAACAGGGCTGGGTCAAAGGTACAGGGTTGACAACTGTGGGTCTCCAGGCAGCCCTTGCCTGTCCTCAGGTAGAGCCTGGCCAGCAGCTGCCGGCACCCACACCTGCACTCCCTGACCACCAGGATGCTCAGAGCCGAGGGTCCCCATCCCACCACCATGTGCAGTGGCACCAAGTGCCTCTTAGCCACTGGAGGTGTGCAGAGGAAGAGGTCAGGAAGGTGAAGATTTATCACTAATCTGTTTTCTCCTCCTGGCGAAAATACTCCGAGAGTGCTCGCTCCCTGTGGCTCTTTTCCCACACTTCGGAGAAGGGCACCTGTCATCCCGTGTGGAACACACACGTTGCTGCTGTAGCAGTTCTTCTTCCAGAAGCAGGAAGTGTGTGGAAATCTAAAGACATAACGACGCACATCGCAGCACCGCTCCTAAGAGCAAAAAGTCGGAAACTAACTTCCCTCCTACTGGGGTTGCTTAGATGACTTACAGTGACAGCCACACAACAGTACTTTATGCCTATTAGAGACAAGGAAGGATACACACTGTAAAAATAACAAAATGGTAATGACAGAAAGTAGGTGTTGGTATATGAAGTTCCTTCAACTTTTCTGTATGTGTGAAAATTCTCAGAATAAAATGAAAAGGCAAAAACAAATTTAACAAGTATCAAAGTATTTTACTTTTAAAATAACTGGAGCCAGGTGCTGGTGACTCATGCCTGTAATCCTAGCTACTCAGAAGGCAGAGATCTGGAAGATCAACGTTCAAGGCCTGGGCAAATAGTTCAAGAGACCCTATCTTGAAAAAAACCTTTCACAAAAAAGGGCTGGTGGAGTGGCTCAATATATAAGCCCTGAGTTCAAGCCCCAGTACTGCAAAAATATAAATAACTGGGTTGTAGCTCAGTGGTACAGTACTTGCCTACCATGTGTGAAGCCCAGGGTTTCAGTTCCAGCTCTGCAAATTAAAAAAAAAAAAAATTGGGTCACATGTGGTGGTACATGCCTGTAATCCCAACACTAAGGAGGCTGAGGCAGGAGTTCCAAGATAGCTTCGGTTAAATAGTGAGACCTTATCACAAAAAAAAGAAAAAAAAAAAAAGTTCAAACTGCATGGAAATACATCAAAATTTGTGGAATGCTGCTAAAACAGTGGTTGGCGATAGTGAAGGTACTTAGAAAGACAGGTACTGGGTGTGGTGGTACATACCTGTAATCCCAGCATTAGGGAGGCTGAGTCAAGAGGATCTCAAATTCAAGACCAGCTCAGGCTATGAAGTGAGACCCTGCCTCACAAAACCAAGGCTGGGGATGTAGCTCAAGGATAGAGCACTTGCCTAGCATGCAGAAGACCCTGGGTTCCATCCCCAACACAGGAAAAAAAGAAAAAGGTCTGAACCAGGCATGATGGGCACACCTGTAATTCCAGCTACTTGGGAGGAGGAGGCATAAGGATCTCAAGTTCAAGCCTGGCCCAGGGAAAGGTGGTGGAGAGACCCTATCTCAAAAATGTAAGTTTAAAAAGATAAAGGTCTGAAGTCAGTAGGTTCCACATTAAGAGCCTATAAAAACAAGAGCAAAGTGAATCTAAAGTAACTAGAAGGAAGGAATTAACAAAGAGAGAAATCAGTACAACAAAAAACAAACGCTAGGGAAACTAAGGAAAAAAAATTACTTTTGTTTGTTTGGGACAGGGTCTCACCATATAGCCCAGACTGGTTAAGTTCATCAGCCTCATCTAAGCCTCCTGTGTGCTGGGATTATAGACCTGAGCCACCATGCCTGGCTGCAAAAAGTTCATTTCAAAGAGCAATGAAATTGACATGACTAATGAAAAAGAACATAACTGCCAGTATCAGGAATGAAAGAGGGGTGTCACTATAGAGGCAGCAGACACAGGAGGGGCAGATATTGATCTAAATGTAAACACTAGGCTGGAGCTGGAGGTGTGGCTCACAGGAGAGAACACCTGGGGAGCAAGGTCCTGAGTTCAAACCCCAGTGCCAAAACAAAAACTAAACTATAAAACTTCCAAAAGAAAACAAGAACATTTTTGACCTTGGGATAAGCAATGATTTCTAAGATATCAGACAAAAAGTATGAACCATAAAAATATTTAATATGTTGGACTTCACAGAAATTAAAACTGTGAGGGCTGCCAGGATGGTTCCAGAGGTAGGGTGCCTGTCTACAAGTGCAAGGCCCATAGTTCAAGCCCCAGCACTGCCGGAGCAAATTTAAAGAATGCTCTTCAAAGACGTTGTTGAGAACAAAAGGCAGCCACGCCAGTGGAGAAACTACTCATAACGCATGCATCCATGGTGGGCTGGTATGCAGAATGCCTTCAAAGATCGACCTTGGCAAGGGCATGGGCCGAGAACTTCCATACTTCTCTGGTGGGAGCCACAATGATACAATCACTTAGGAAAACAGCTTGGCACTTTCTGTAAACGTTAAACACACCTACTCTGCAGCCCAGACACTCCGCTCCTGGGTATTTACCTAGGAAGTTAAAATAGCTGTCAAAGATGTGTACTTCCATGGTCACGCAACTTTATTCACTGTCTATCACCAGGTGACTGGATAAATGTGGTCTGTCCCAGAATGGGACAGCACTCAGCAATAAGGAATAACTACTGCATACAGCAACATGTCAGAGTCTCAAAATCATGCTGACTAAAATCAAAGACACAAGGATAAGAACTGTCTAGAGCATGCAAACTAACCTCGAGTGAGACTCATGAGTGGGAGACATGAAGACCCTTGTGGGGTGATGGAAAAGTTCTGCATATCATAGTGGTGGTGGTTCCCTTGGTATACACACCTGCCAAAACTATTCACTTCACACTGATGCAGTTTATTACATGCAAATGAACCTCAACATGGTGTTACATTTTGCATGTTATACCAATAAACAAATATTGAAAGAAACAAATTTCTAGCAAGACTGACTCAGGAAGAAAGAACAAATTAAAGACACTGGGGCCAGGTGAGATAGTTCACACCTGTAATACCAGCTATGCCTGGTCTAAGGCCAGGGGGCAAAAACTAGAGATCTTCTCCAAAAATAACTAAAGCAAAAGGACTGAAAGCAGCTCAAGAGGGGGAACACCTGACTCTGAGTTCAAACCCTAGTATTTCCCCACAAAAGGAAACATTTTCCAAATCATTTTATGAGGTCAGCATTACCTGATACCAAAACCAAAGACGTTACAAGAAAATAAAACTGTGAGCAAACCGAAAGAAAAAACTACAGACCAGTATCTTTAAAGAACAGAAACTAGCAATAATACTAAAAGGTAATTCACCATGACAACATTCACCCAGAAAGCAGGGTTGGTGTAACATTTAGAAACCAGTCAATATGATCCATCCTATGAACAAATTAAGAAAGAAACTCACATGATTATAAAATAAAGAAAAATCAGTTCACAAAATTCAATCCCACTCGTGATAAAACCTCAGAAAACTAGTATACTCAGAAAAAGCCGATGAAGAGGATCTGTTTTAAAAACCCAGAGCTTAATACTGTACTTAGTGATGAAAGACTGAATGTTCTCCCTTAACACTGGAAGAAGCCACGGATGTCCACACCCTTCTATTTAATGTTGTACTAGAGATCGTAGTCAGTGAAATAAGGCAAGACAAAAAAGAGGCATACAGTTTGGAAAAGGAAGAAGTACAATGACCAGTGATCACACAACTGTGTGCTAAGGAATCTATGAAAAATGTGGTAGAGTGGAGTGAGCTTAGCAAGGTCACAAGATACAAAGTCAAAACAGAGTAACAGTTATATTTGTAAACAGTATCAACAAATGACTACTTTGCCTGGTGCGGGTGGCTCAGGCCTGTAATCCTAGCTACTCAGAGGCAAAGATCAGGAGGATCACTGCCATTCAAAGCCAGACAAAGCAAACAGTTCTTGAGATGCTATCTCGAAAATACCCAACACAAAACAGGGCTGGTGGAGTGACTCAAGTGGTAAAGCACCTGCCTAGCAAGTGCAAGGCTGAGTTCAAACCCCAGTACTGGGGGGAAAAAAAAAACAAAGTTGATGACTACTTTAAAAATAGGTAAAAGATCTTTAACGTTGAGAATTACAAAACACTGCCGAGAAAAACTAAAAACGTCAATAAATGGAAAGTTATGTCATGCTCATAGACAATATTGTTAAGATCGACGTATGGCACAATCCCCATCAAAAGCCAATCTGGAGAGTCCTTACTCCCATTCCTGCGGAGAGACCAGGAAGTATTTCTTCCCTCCACTTCTCTCTCCTTTACACTGTTACACTAAAATAAATCCTTACTAAAACTTTTTTAAAAAGCCAGCTGGGCTGGGGACTTGGCTCAAGTGGTAGTGTTTGCCTCAAAAGAATAAGGCCCTGAGTTCAAACTCTAGTACCACAGGGGGAAAAAATAAATAAATAAAAAATAACAAGCTGGGTTTTTTTGTAGAAATTAATAAGAATTAAAATTTATATGCAAATACAAAGGACTAAGGAGACTCAAAACAATTTTGAAAAAGAACAGTGGATTTCTAGACTGGTTTCTAGACTTTTCATAAAGTTACTCAACAAAATGATGCGTTCTGATGCAAGGAAACAGCATTCAGAAGTCGACTGATACAATGGGTGCCCACTTTTCCCAGTAAAGGTGCACAGGTAGTCCACAAGTAGTGCTGAACACCTGGCCACCAAACTGCAAAACACTGAACTTCCACCCCTGCCTTACACCATACACAAAGGGCCATGCTCCTTCTCAACTCCTGGGAGGTCCCTCCTGCCTCTGCCAGTGTTGGGGGTTCCAGGTATCCCCGGGCTTGTGGCACACAGACCCACAGGACCTGCCCCAGTAATGGGTCCCACTCACCTTGGCCCAGGCCAGTTTCTCCTGAATGGCAGTATTGCTGGGCTCCACATGGCGTGCAAACTTGAGGTTGTTGATGGTGTATTCGTGGCCACAATAGACTTTCTGAGGAGAGAGCCGACATGTGAGCTCTGACAAGGCTGATTAATCCCCCTTGGGAGCCCCGAGGGCTTGGGGCCAGATCGTGTCCTTGTCCCAATCTGGGCACCTAGTGGATACCCACAGAGCCATCTTTCAGGCTGGACACTTCTTGTGCATATATTAAACACCAGTAAAAAGTTACAGTGATGATGGCCCACTTGGCTGTCTCCAGTTTCCAGGTGTGCCCTGCACAAGGACCCAACTGCAGGCAATGGGTAGATCTCAGGCCTCAAAGGGTGGGCCCAGCACATGGGAAGTGAGCCCCAAGGGGTACATGGGGCCTGCAGGATGGACAGGTGCCACCTACTGTTTCTGGAGGGAGCCGGCCCAAGATCTCAAGCAATGCCTTGTACATTTCGTCTGCAGTTCCTTCATAGAACTTCCCACAGCCAGCCACAAACAAGGTGTCACCTGGAAAACAATGGTGGGCATGCAGTAAAGGGGGCTATCTCAGATGTGGATGAGATGACCAAGGAACTGGACTCTTGACTTTCTGCATCATGGGCTGCACCCACAGCCTCAGCACTGCTGCGCTGAGCTCCCCGCAGAATTCCCAGAACACAGCCATGGCTGTACTCTGCCCCACCTACCCTGATGCAGGCAGGCTTGCCCACCCAACACATCCCAAGACAACCCACAACTCCCCATTCTTGTCCCTTAGAACGTTATGTCTCAAGTGTCAACTGGTACTACAGCCACCAACCACCTGTACAGGCCTGAAACCAAACTCACCCTGACCCCGCCTTCACTGCCCCCAGGCCCACCTGGGGCTCTGAGTCCCTCACAGACCCATCCCAGTCCCTGTCTGCCAAGCAGCACCTCCTGGGACCCTGCATCTTCCCTTCTCCTGGCAGCCTGGTTTCCGGCTCCCCCTCCCTTTGCTGACTACCCGCAAGTACCTGCCCCCACCCCGCAGGCCTGGAACTGGCCCAGCCTCTGTGGGGCCAGTCTAGCCACTTATCCTCTTGCACATCCCTGGACTCCACACTCTAAAGGCCTGCCTCAGTGGATACCCATGCTTCCAGCTCTATCTCGCTCCTAGGGCCTCATTCTCACTGCCATGAGGTGGGATCCCAAACATGGGGTCCTAAACTCTGATCTCTCCCACATATACCCTACCCAGGCTGTTCCCCAGCACTGCCTCTCCATCACACCCTTTGCTCCTCAGCACCTGGCCTTTGCCACTGGCCTGGACAGGACTTATCCCTGACTGAAGCTGCAGGGGACGCCTGTCCCTGCTACTATACCCTTTTCTGGACTGTCATCCATTCCACCTCACCTACAACTGAGGTGGAAAGAAGGAAGTATGGCCCTGGACCTCACTGTTGGTGGCAGACACCTCTACTTCACTAAAGAGATTGAGTGGTTTGCACACATTCATTATAAAAGTGACCTGATGAGACTTATGCCGATAATCCTAGCTACTCTGGAGGAAGAAATCAGGAGGATCAAGGTTCAAGGCCAGTTCAGGCAAAAAGGTCATGAGACCACATCTCAACCAATAAAAAAAGCTGGGCATGATGGTGTGTGCCTGTCATCCCACCTACACAGAAAGCATAAATAGGAAGATTGCAGTTCAGGCCAGCCCAGGCATAAATGTGAGACTTTACTCCAAAAATAGCAAAAGCAAAAACAGCTGGGGGCATGGCTCAAGTGATAGAACACCTGCCTAGCAAACACAAAGGTCCAAGTTCAAACCCCAGTACCATCAAAAAGAAAAAAAAAAGTTACCTGATAAACCTCATACCACATGGTAAGCCACTGCACCATAGATTCCAGAAACAAGCACAGGATAGCTTAGGGGTCCGCATCCTGCAGCAATCACCCTAAACAACATCCTCAGACTCAGAACTGACATGAAAGACCCGCCTTGCATGGGGTCATCTCAAGGCTGGCCTGACCTTCAGATGTCACTCCCTGATACAGGCCCAAAATTACCTAGAAGGCAGGCACTGCCATCTGCTCTTACCAACCAGTGATGCATGGACCTTAGCTGGGCACACAGCCTTGAAAGCTGGGACAGGCCAGGCCAGTGTCTGCTGTGACCCAGCTGTCTCTACACCTCCTGTCACCTAACCCTAAGGGCTGCACAGAGAGGACCATATGGCTGTCACATTTTACCACAGCTCAAACTGCAGTTCAGGGAGACCCTACCCAAAAGCATCACAGCAAAAACATAGGCATGTGGTGGGTTTCCTGTTCTGAGCCACAGTCAGACATGGACTAACCCGCTATGCTTTCTAACCAGGAAATATGGGCCCAGAAGCTGACACAGGTCCAAGGCCCTGGCTTGCACCACAAGCTACCAAGGTGAAGAAACAGAAATTCTGTAACAGTGACATTAAAAATAACCACAGGTTCAGAATAATTTCAGATTTACAGAAAAGCTATAGAGATAGCAGTCAACATCCACCCATCACTTAGTGTTTCCCTGGAGCTCACTTCTAACATTACCGTGTCACACTGCTATGACCTCACCTGCATTTCCTGTGGCAGGACCCAGCTGTGCTCAGTCAGTCCCTTTGTTCTGTTTGGTTTTCTGGTGGTAGTAGGGTTGAACTAAGGGCTTTTCACTTGTGATGCAGGTGCTCTTCTGCTTCAGTCATGCCTCCAGCTCTCAGCCAGTCTCTCTAAACAAACTGCTATCACACCGTCATATGACTGTGACTTAAACCTCTGCAAGACTCAGAGCTTAGCACTACAGTCACTGGCAAAGCAGAGGGGCCAAGCTGCCAGGACCCTCTGCAGCAGGCTGGCCCTCAGCCCTTCCAGCTCTGGTGCCAGCTGCCACTGGCTTATTCCACCTGACTGCCCAGTCACCGTGCAGCTGTTCTGCCTCACAGGCTCCCCACTGACATCAGCACTCTAGTTTTCTCTCAAAAGGGAGGAAAGCTTCAGATTTCTGGACAGGCCTATTTGCCCTGAGTGCTTGTGGCACACACACTAGCCAAGGCTGGCTCAGGATCTAACAGTGAGACTACAGCTGGATTCTGGAACTCTCCCACCACTGACTTTCGTGTGGAGCTGCTGACTGTGCAGGGTCACTGTGTAGGAACTCAGTACTGCCTTGTGCCCTTCGAATGCAGCCCAGCTCAAAGGGCTCTCTGGAGGAACATGGGTGGAACACTTGGCATTCCTAGGATCTCCCTTGGCTAACTCCACAAACCATGCCCATCTGCTGCTGGAGGGTGAGGACTGAGGCTAACTCTCACCAGGCGATAACCTTCTCAAATCGAGGCTGTGTGTTCCCCTGCCCCCTGCACCTGTGAGGAAGACTCAGCTCACAGAGTGCTACCCCATTGTGTATGAAGCTGAGTCCAACTCTTCCTGAGGACTCTGTCCTCTTTACATGGGATTTAGGGCTGGAGGAGGAGCAGCCCCTGTGAGTCTGCCTGGCAGGAAGAACCCCATTTCTCTGCACAGGAGCTTCCACAGGCATCCTGACACCAAGAGGGGCTTCACAGAGACAACCTGGCTCCCTCCATACTCCTGCACACTCACCTGTGAACACAGCAGGGGGCTCTGAACCACCAGGCTTGCTCACAAAGTAACAGATGTGTCCCGAAGTGTGGCAGGGTGTCGACAGGCATTTGACACTGAGAGACCCCACCTGAAACACAGCAGGCACCAGCATGGGCCTCAACAACAGGGGAGCCTTTCTAGGGGTTACAGAGAACATTGCTGGTTCCACACAAGCCCTCCCCACTCCTGAGCACCTGGAAGTGACTGACCCCATGCCCTGTATACTGCAGAGCTGCCCAAGACATGGACCATGGCCCCAGGTGTAGGGCCTGCTTTGTTTGCTCATGGGCAAAAGCAAAGGAGCTTATTTTGCTCACTCTTTCAAAAACTGGAGCAAATCTAAACCAGATATCTTGCCAGAAGACAGCTCTCCTCTGACCCACCTTCCCAATTCCTTACTTCAAAATGTTCAAGCCTACAACAAAGATGACATAGCAAGATGAACACCCCAACAGTTCTTATCAGTGTTCACCAAATGTTCATGCTTCCCACATCTGTCTGCAGCCACTCTGTTGTTTACTCTTGACAAATTGCCCCAAATATTCCAGCTGTCTCCTAAGAAAGGGGAACTCTCCACATAACCCAGTCACCATCACACCCAAAAAATCAAAGCTATCCCTACTTAAACTCCCTAATCCACTGAGAGCTGTACTTCATGGCCTTGCCCAGTAACCACTCAGATTTTGCACACTGATTTTCTTGCTATGCTCTCAACAGAGGACTGTCCAAGCTACCTTTGAGGCAGGCACAGGGAGACCCTTGCCTGGATTCCAGAGTTAGAGAGGGTTCCCACCAGCTCCCTTCCCATACTGTGCCTTAGGACTAGTCTCCAGGCAGGGCCACTCCATAGTCCCTTCTGTGACCACTCCTTACCTGCAGAGTGGACAGGTGTGTGACTTTGTGAGTCAGGGCTCCAATACGGTCATCGCCTCCATATACCTTCAGCGCAGGCTCCAGCTTGACCAGCTTCTCGTTCCCACCAGCATGGTCCCTGGAAGTCGGACAGGAGATCTGGGGCTACTTGCTGAGATGAGGGGCTTGCTCACTTGCCTCTAATCCCTGACAAGATGGAATCTTATTCTGCCCAGTGTTTCTCATATGCATCTCCCAACCCAGGAAGCACTTTTCTGCCCTCTGGCTCTCCTGAAAACAACTTCCACAGACACTGTGTTCTGGAGTAAGGCTCCCCAGTGCCCTTGCTGGGTTTAGAGCAGAGGAAGCAGAGCACACACACCTGGAAAGTCAGAGCCCTGGTGCACTTTGGGGAATGAGGAGTCATCTGGAGCTCTCTGAGCTTCACTCTCATCCATACCTCCTGATGCGATTGGTTTAGGGTGGGGATTTGTTAAAGCTTCCCAGGTGATTCCGAAGTGCAGCCCAGTTTGGGCAAGGCCCTAGCAAAGGATCTCCTGATGAGCTTCTGGAACAAGCTATCTGTGGGGTACAGGCCAGCTGGGAGAAGGCGGCTGCCTGGATAAACCTTCAGGGCTCCCAAGTTTCCCCAGGGAGCCCTGTGACCTGAATTTCAGAAAGGGGGCAGTAGAGGGCTTCTTAGCAGACCTTGGCCAGGCTAGAATCTCACCACTGGGAGTCCCTGGGACTGTGGCATTGAGGTGGGGCTCAAGTGTCTCCAGACTGAAAGACAGGCTTCTTGCAAGGATGAGGTATGGGTCTTCCCAGAGCTAGGAACATCTGCTTTTGTCAGCCTGTTGGCCAGTATCCCCACCTCCTTCCATGTCTACCTGTGAACTCCTTCAGATGCCTCAGAAACCATACCCAGAAGACTTCAGTGAAACCTAGCACATAGCAGGGCCCCGAAGACAATAGGGTAGAGCAGGCTGCTGAGCCCTCTACTCCACTCCCCCAAGTCAGGTGAGCCTCATCACTTATCTTTTAAAATGCAACTACCAGGGCTAGGGAATGTGGCTCAGTGGCAGCACATTTGCCAAGCATACAGGAAACCCTGGGTCCCATTCTCAGCCTCAAGCAAAAATAAAATGCTACTGATGAATGAGCAGTAAAACAACTCGTCATCAGGTGAAGCACAGGCTGAACCCTGGAGCTCCGTCATAGCCATGAGAGATTGCGTGGAAAAAAAACAGAATGTCAGGAAAGAGGCATCTGAAGTGGGGATTACTCAACGTGGAAGAGCAGCCAGCAGGAGCAAAGCGAAAAGCTTCTACTAGGGTTCCCAGCCTTAGGTGAGCAGACAACAGGAGAGCCCCAGGGAACCTACTATAAGAAAGAGCAGCCAAACTAACACTGGGGTCACTGGCTCCCCATCCCTAATGTTGGGGTCTGGCTCAGGGCCTCAGAAGCCCAGTCATAGCACCTGTCAAACCAACACCAAAGACTCCATGGCTGACTGGCACAGTCTGTGCTTTGCTTATGTCAAGCACAGGTCATGAGACCCTGTCCCTGCACCGAGGTGCATGGAGGAAGGGTCAAGGAAAAAAGGCATTGGCTGCCCTCACACAATCATTTGGAAAGGAAAATTAAGAGCCCAAAACACACTTTTACCTTTTAAGAGCCTCAAGTTTCAAAAAGTCAAAAAAGAGGGCTAGGGGTATGTCTACTTGCCTTGATAGAATACTTGCCTTGCAAGCTTGAGGACCTGAGTTCAAACCCCAGTACTGCAGGGGACGGAGGAGCCAAAAAGGCTTTAGCAACTCTACCACGAGACCCTCAAACAGGAGCTTTTCTCACCATTTAGTTTTCAAATATTGAAAAAACCACCTCTGGAAATGTAGCAGCTTCAAAAAAACAAAGACACTAAGCCTTAGGTCTTTTTCTTCCCTGCAATGGAAGCTAACATCCTTTTCATAAACCCAGATGGAGAAAGCAGCTGCTGGGGGTCCTCCTATGGCCAGAGAAGCCAGGCCCTGGGAGAACGGCAGGGAAGCCCATTCCTGAGGACGCCTTGCCCTCGCCCTATCTTTGCAGGTGGCAAGTGTCTCACCTGGGAGTTGTTTGCGTTAGCAGAGCCCAGGAGCGAGCACCTTGATGGCCCCAAGGGAAGAGAGCAGGAGCCCCGGTGCTTTTCTTCAACTCCTCCTGGGGTGTGTGCATGTGTGTGGGGGGGTGTCTGTCCCACACGAGAACAGTGAGCCAGACCCCCATCCCATGGGTGCCTCCATAGCCACAGAGCTGGCCTAGGGAGCCCAGCACTTACCAGTGGTGGTGGGTAGTGAGCACTGTGGTCAACTTCACACCATGCTTTCTCACCGTTTCTACAACCTGCAGCCACACGGGAGGCAGGACAAAGGCCCAGTCACACTCCCAGCCCAGGCTCCCCTGCTGACTGGCCTGACTCCAAGACAAGAGGGGGAACATGGCCTTTTTCTCTCTTGATCAACATGGTGGCTCTCAGTCCCACCCATAACCTCTACAAACCCCTTGAGGTCTGAGGTCATTTCCCACCAGATGCACAGAGAAAGAGCACATCCCAAGTACACCCAGGTGTTCAGGCACAAGGGCTTAAAGATGGGCAGTGTTCCCCACTACCCTTCCTTAACAGGGTGGCTGGATACTAGTTTGTTTTTCAAAACTAAATGAATTAATTTCCACTAAGTTTCTGCAGAGCTGCAAGGACTCAGAGATGAAGACAGGGTGCTAGGTGACAAGGCACAGAGAGCAGAGCAGAGCTTCGCACCTTCTGGGGCTGCACGGGGTCGACAATGGCGGCCTCCTGGGTATCCTCGTCGATGAGCAGGTACATGTAGTTGTCAGTCAGGGCAGGCAGCAGCTCGATTTTCATGGCGCCCTGCTGCACAGTCAAACTCTTCCTTAAACCCGTGTGATACAAGAGGATTTTCAGCAGGCCTGGGCCTGAGGACACAGGATGCAGCTTTAGGTCGTGGGGCTGCCCCTCCAGCACTGAGGCTTGCCAAACTGGCTTTTCTAAGTTCTTCTGACAGAGAATATCCTCTTTTAACCACTGCCATCATGAAAGTGTAGAAAATGACTCCATGGAAATCAGCTACTGTCTCAGACTTAGGATTTTTTTTCCCCTGTACTGGGGATGAAACCTATTAACCTTGAGCATGCTAAGCAAGTGCTCTGTCACTGAGCTATACCCTATCTCTGACTTAGGATCTTTATTTTCTCTTTCAAGGGTCCTAAAAGGACAAACCTGCCAGGTTGTGGTGACAAAAAAAAAAAAAGTGCCAGAACCTGACTGGGAGCCCTCCAGCACACCAGGTTGCCTCTGTGCTCACAGGGATAAGAGGTATGTAGTTATTTGCAGCCCTTCTCAGGCTTCCAATCAGAGGGGAAAAAAAGGATTTGCTATAAAATGGTAGGCATTCAAGAGTGGATGATGCACACAGCACTAGATTTGGAAAAGGAGAGCTGGCTGCTCAGGACTCAAGCGTGGAGGATACAGAATCGCCAGCCAAGTGGCCAAGTGAGCCAAAGGACTCTACCCAGGTGGGCCAGCAGATGGCGAGAAGTGAGTTACTGAGGAGCAAAAGCATCCTTCACCCAACTGACAAGTACCAAAATATTTTCAGCAATGAAACTCCAATCTAAAATACTCAACGACACTTTGTCTTGGTTTTAAGGCGGGGGGAGGGGACAGCACATGATGACATGATGACAGAACACAGCAAATTCTGGGCTAGGTGCCAGGCTAGGTGCCAGGAGCCTCTCCCAAAAGAAATCCAGAAAGCTGCAGCATCTGCCCACTGGTGGATGTTGTCTTCAGAAGATGTCTAAATGCGGGATCCACTATATTTGCCATGGCCAGTGAAATTGCCCAAATTTTTTTTTTGGTGGCAGTGCTGAGGATGGAAGGATGGAACCCAGGACCTTTACCATGATGGGCAAGTACTTTACTACTGAGCTGCATCCCTGCCCCCCTCATTTCCCTTTTTTGACACACCAGCTGAGCATTTTCCAGACCCTTCTCCTGCTCAGCAAACTAAACATTTTGGTATGATCAAGTTTCTGTTACAGCCTACCTCTCCTAAGCCCCAGCACTCTCCAAGGCCACACAGAAGGGTGGAAACAGGACTCTGTGTGGGAGCACCTCCTCATAAAAAGCCCTTTTACGTATTTCCTGATAAAACTTTACAAACACTGACCAGGTGAGGGAAACAGAAGGTGATTATTACTTAGGAAAGACTCCACCTGGTGCAGGCACCATACACCTAACTGGACACTGCTTAGAAGATGCTCCACCTCACTGGTTAGCAGCTGGGGCATTTTGCCTAAGCAGAGGTCATAGACTTGCACCCAAGTCCACAGGCATGTTTTGTTTGGCCCACAACACAGTTTAAAAATCAGGAGGCGTGGCTTACGTGGCAGAGCGCCTGCCTAGGGAAGGTATGGTTAGCAAAAAATAATAAGATAAAAACATTTCACAGCACCGCCTCGCTCCAACTAGGCGGACTTATGCAACACCAACGCTGAACTGGGGGTGGGGGGAGAGGCTCCCCTTGAACCCTCGCCAGGCTCCTGATGCAAAAGCTCTGAGCTGCGACAAAGAAGTGTCCCTAAATGGAAAGAGCTGTAGTTTTGGGGACCTCAACGACCTGCCTCTTTCCTTAGCAAGAGCAATGCGCGCACTCTACAGCTCTGATTGCTACCAAGTCAGCTGTGCTGGCCGGATTCCGGATGGCCAGCTCCCGGACGCGGGAGACCCGCTATCACCACATCAGCAGGGCATTGGGGAAAACCGAGGTCAGAGCCCAGTTAGGGAGGGGTCCGACTTCGGTGCGGGGCGTCCACGGAAGCAGCGCGCAGACAGGCCGGGGGCAGATGCCAGCCCGCTGCGCCGGACCCAGGCCAGACTCCGGCCTGATGCTGCTGCCCGTCAACGCTCGTCGCCTGCGCCGCGGCCCTCAACGCGCCCGGTCCCGTCAAGGCCTGGCGTCCGCACCCCGCTCCTGACCCTCCCGGCGGCGCTCTGGCACCTGCGCCCCAAGACGGCGTCGGCGCACCCAACCGACGCCCGGCCCGTCAGCGCCCGGCCTCGCCCCGTCAGCGACCCGGTCCACCTACCCAGGCCCCGGCGCGCGCAGGCAACTCCCAGCGCGGCTAGGCGACGGCAGTAGAGTGGCCCGAGGCCGAGCACCATGACCCGCCAGGCTGCACAGCCCGAGCGCGGAACAGCAACACGGAACGGGGGGCAGAAACGCCGGCGTCGGCAGCAGCAGCCAATCAGCGCCGGCCTCGCATCTCCTCTAACCAACCAGATTCCGCCTTGCCCTCCTTGCTCCGCCCCCAACAAATCAGGGCCCGCCTCGCACAGCCCGCCCCGAATCAACTCGTGCCCACCCTGTGCCGCCCGCAGCCAACCATTACCCTCCTTGCAGTGTCCGGCCCGCCCCCAGCCAATCAGCGCGCTCGAGTCCAACACGTTCCCCCTTCCGCCCCGCGCGGGCGGCACGGTCTGGAAGTCCGTGTAGGCAGCAGTCTGAAGATTGACCCCGAGCCGTCCGAGTCTGTCCGAGGCCCAGGCCAGCGAGCCGAGGCAGCCAGTTGCGAAAGGTGGGACGGACTGTCGCTGGCAAGACAGCGTCCCGAGGCAGCGCGTCCCTCCCGGGCTGCCGTAGGTGCTGGCGCCGCGGCCGCGTGACCAGAGCTGAGCCATGGCGGCCCCCAGGCCGGTGTCCCGCTTCTGGGAGTGGGGGAAGAATATCGTGTGCGTTGGGAGGAACTACGCGGACCACGTCAAGGAGATGCGCAGCGCCCTGAGCAGCGAGCCGGTGCTCTTTTTGAAGCCGTCCACCGCGTACGCGCCCGAGGGTTCCCCGGTGCTGATGCCCGCCTACTCCCGCAACCTGCACCACGAGCTGGAGCTGGGCGTGATCATGGGCCAGCGCGGCCGCGCCGTCCCCGAAGCCGCCGCCATGGACTACGTGGCCGGATACGCCCTGTGCCTGGACATGACCGCCAGGGACGTGCAGGACGAGTGCAAGAAGAAGGGGCTGCCCTGGACCCTGGCCAAGAGCTTCACGGCCTCCTGTCCAGTCAGCGCCTTCGTGCCCAAAGAGAAGATCCCTGACCCTCACGCCCTGAGGCTGTGGCTCAAGGTCAATGGCGAGCTCCGGCAGGAGGGCGAGACGTCCTCCATGATCTTCTCCATCCCCTACATCATCAGCTACGTCTCCAAGGTAATGACCTTGGAAGAAGGGGATCTGATCTTGACGGGGACGCCAAAGGGAGTGGGGCCAGTTAAAGAAAACGATGAAATCGAGGCTGGCATAGACGGGGTGGTCAGTATGAGGTTTAAAGTGGAAAGGTCGGAATGTTGATCTGTACTCAAATACTGAGTCTGCACAGAGCGCTCCAACTTCTTAACAAGCGTCGGAGAGAAGAGAGACAGAAGCAAGCCAAGATTTGGGGGAAGAGCCCATCCTGGGATTTGGCTGCTACAAGCGCTCGACCATTTGAGCCACACCCCATCCCTTTTTGCTTTAGGTCATTTTTTAGATAGGGTCTCGCTTTTTGCCCAGGGTTGGCCTCAGACACAATGATCCTCCCACCTACGGCCTCCCTTGTAGGTGAGCTGACAGGTGCACATCACCACACCCTGCTGGTGTTGCTGAGATGGGGTCTTAGCTAGCTTTTTGCTGCGGCTGGACAGGAACCATTATCCTCCGGATCTCTGCATCTCAAGAAGCTGGGATTACAGGCGTGAGCCACTGGGTCCTACAAGCAAAGGTTATTAAATGTGATGTTCTAATAGAAAGCAATCTTTAAAAAAAGATTTGATTCGATTGCTAGACCTCAAACAGATAGACCCTTCAGGAAAAATGTGATCTGAAAGAGCTGCGACAAATGGGAAATAACAAAAGATTTGTGCTTCCCAAGAGAGTACATCAAACTAAACTTGCCCGAGTCTTGAGTTTCCTTAATGAGGATTTTCTCTGTGTACAGAGCACTCCAGCTGACTCTTACCAGGAAAAATGTGGAAAAACACTAGTCCACACAATCAGTTTAAGTTTGGAGTTTTATTAAGTAGCAATTGCTTACTTTGGGCACCCATCCTGGCCTACAGTTTTGAGTTTGGGAGATCATTTAAAAATAAATATTGTGTGTGTGTCTAACACTGCGCTTTCTTTTCCTAGTAGGGTGAGGAAGGGATACTTCCTCCTGAGGGAATTCACACTTTGGCCTTTGACCTCTGGCTGCTGAGCTCTGGCTCTGACTTATTAACAGTTAACCACACCTCCACCTCCCAACAGAGAAGTCAGAGTCCTTGGGAGTGCTGCTTTTGCTCTTGCCTGCCCTTTACCGATAAAAAGCAGGACAGGATGCACAGCATGGCTATCAGAGGGCCCAGTGGAGTCTTTGGGCTTAGGGGCTCTTGTTGTCAGTGTACACAGAGGCATCTCCTGGCCCCTTGAAGAAAGCCTAGGACATTCACTTCAGTAATTTATGGAGCACTCAGTATTGCTAGGCATTTTGCCAAGGAGTTTATTCCGTGTTCCCATGTATTATGTGACCCTTAACAGACCTGTGAGGTTTTTATTGTTACTGCTATCCCCATTTCACAGATGTAGATTTAGTGGCTAGGAAGGCTGGCTAGGATCACTCAGTTGAGTGGCAGAGCCAAACTGTAACCCTGTTATCCCACACCCAGAACCTGAAGTCTTGTCCCCAATGCAGGCTGCATCTTATAAAAGATATATAAGAGAATTTAGCCAGGCATGGTGGTACACACCTGTAATCCCAGCATTTCATTCAGGAAGCTGAGGGAGATGGATTGCAAGTTTGAGGACAGCTGGGCTACATAGTCCCTGACTCAAATAATTTTTTTGCTACTCTATGATCCCTATGTTTAAGTTGTAATTTATGAGAAAATTCCATAATTGGATTTGTTTATTAAATGTCATGCTCTTTTTTTTTTTTTGGTGGGGTGACAGGGTTTCACTATGTAGTCCAGGCTGGCCTCTTGATTCTCCTGCCTTAGCTTTCTACTATCTTATTTTTAATAGTTTACTTAATTGCTTAGCAATGCAACTTTATTATAGAAGAGTCAAAAAATACAGATAAGCAAAAAGAAAAAAAACACCTAACAGCTACCCAAAGATAGCCAAAGTTAAGCGTTTGGTGTAAACTCTTCCAAATCTGGATGTGGGGCTGGGAGTGTGGCTCAACACCAGTTGCATAGGTGCTCACAGAGGAAGCAGAAGGCCCTGAGTTCAGCCCAGCACCTCAACACAAGCATCAAACAAAACATCAAATCTGTTGGTGTATTGTTTTATTCTTTGCAGTAATGGAGATTAAATGTGGATGTAATTTTTTAAATAGAGTTTGCTCCCATCATACAATTTTCCCTCTCTCCCTCCCTCCCTGCCTTCCTTCCTTCCTCTCTCTCTCCTTCCCTGCCTTGTTTCCTTCCATGTGGGGTTTGAGACAGGATCTTCAGTATGTATCCCATGTTAGCCTCAAACTTGGGACCCTTCTATCTCAGCCTCCTTAGTGCTGGCATTACAGGGGTGCACCACCACACGCAGCTGGCCCACCACACAATTTTCTAACCTACTTTTTACATTGTTTATAATGCTATCCTTTTCCACATCAATCAACACATTTCTACAGTATGGTTCTTGTTGGTTATGCAAGACTTTGAGGTCAGTCCTCTGCTTTTGGACTCTGGGATTTTGTGGTTATTTGCTGGTAAAATCAGTACATTTGTTAATTCCTTTGGCTAGATTCCCGTAAGTGGAAGAGTTGGGCCAAGGGGTGTGCTCATACTGAGAGTATACTTTTAGTCTAGCTAGCAAGTACAAGGTTCAGCTGAGATACAACCAAGTTGACAGACCATTTAAGCAAGCTGAAGGCATAAGGTAGGAGCAGTGCTCACATGTAGCCCCAGGGTGAAACAAGCCTGCACCTAGAGAGTATACAGTGCCCCTGGGGTCAATGTCCACCAACCAATGGAACAAGCTTTGTCACAAACATCTGACATCAGCATTATAGATGTAGCACACAAAGTCCTTGGATATAAGAATCAAAAACTAAGAGGCCAATTCCCACAATTCCTGAAGTTACTAAACTCACAGTAATTCTAGCACCTAGAAAGTACATTTTTCTTCAGCTTACTTTGAATAAATTTAAACCTATTAAAAAGCTGCAAAATTAATCCAGTGAATTCCAAATAACCTTCAATAACTTCAATAATTGTCAATAATTGAATTCAGTAATTTTAATCACACCTAAGAAAATAATTCCAAAATATATTAGTCTATGCAGAATATATAGCTGACATCCGGTATCATTTTTTCAAGAATATATATATATATAGCATTATACATCCACTTAATGTATTATGAACATCTTTTCAGGTTAATGAATACAGAATTACATAATCCTTTAGTGGCCATAACTTAGAACATGTGTCCCAGAAACAGAAGCAGAACCTAAGGTGGGAGCTCTTGCACAAGTGACTTATTAAAGGATGCTCTCAGGACAGTGAAAGAAGCAGAAAGGGCAGAGAGCAAAGGCCAAGAAGAGAAGTGAGGTCAGAGCTGGAGTGGACCTCAGGGGGCTGAAGATGAGCTGGTGATCCCAAGAGGACAGAACAGTCTGCAGTGTCAAGGTCTGCTCTTCCATCCCTCCCATGACCTTCCCAGGCAACACTCTGACGCTCACGAAGCTAGGGGATCCAGAAAACCTGCAAGGAAAGGGGGTCTGTTGGGACCCAACATCCCTCAGAGGTACACAGCTTCTGGTGCTGTGTACCAGAACAGTAAGGCAAGGAATAGCCTCCAGACAGCAATGGATACATGTTCATTTCTTTAGGGAAAGACATGAAAGTGAAACTTATTTGTTTGTACTTTAAATTTTTGATACATTTTGCCAAACTGTGGAGGAAAAGGATATATCAACTTGGTACTTAACAAGAGTGTTTGAGAATGCCTGCCCTGAACACTACCAAATGCTGATATGATGGTTAGGGTCTTTTTTTGTTTTTGGTGGGACTGGGGTTTGAACTCAGGGCTTCACACTTGCAAAGCAGGCACTCTACCACTTGTACCACACCTCCAGTCCATTTTGCTGTGGGTATTTTGGAGATGGGGCCCACAAACTCTTTTACCTGGCCTGGCCTTGAACCTCAAGCCTCCCGATCTCTGCCTCCTAAAAAGCTAAGATTATAGGCATGAATCACTGGTGCCCAGCTCTAGGGTCATTTTAATTTGCATCCCTTTAATAGGTTGACATCAGTTAATTTTTTTACAAGACCATTTGGCACATCTTTGCGTAAATGTTGTAGCATCTCTATAGTCAGTTTGATTTTTACATTTTAATACACAACACACAAATCAAACTATAGAATTCATACAACAAAATATTAAATATTAGGGCCAACAGATGAGCTAAGCCTCACCATTTATAATAATTGATATTTATTGACATTGGCACATAAGTCTAAGCATTTTACATAAATAACCCTGAGTTTTCACAATTGTCATGAGAATTTGGTCGTGTTATTAACCACAAATGGAAAAGCTCAAAGCTGGACGTCAGCCTAACAACAGCAGATAGAGCCACAGAGCCTGCCCACTCAGCCATCTCCAGCTCTACTGCTAGATGAACTTTTATGTCCCATCTGAATAATGAGCAAAATACTGGTACACATCAGATAATGCCAGTAATGTACTTACAACAGTGTCATAAAAGGACTTAATAATGTTAGTCATTAATATTACTATAGCCATTTGAATATCTAGAAATTTATCTCAAGACAATAATTAAGAGCATGGACACACTGGCTGCAGTGTGGCTCATGCCTGTAATCTTAAATCAAGGTTCAAGGCCAGCCCTGGTAAAAAGTTCTGGAAACCCCATCTCAACCAGTTAAAGAAAAGCTGGGGGGAGGGGGGCATGTGCCTGTCATTCCAAGTGTGCAGCAACAAAAAGGGCTAGGGGTGTGGCTTGAGCACCTGTCTGGCAAACTCAAGACCCTGAGTTCAAACCCCAGTACCTCCAAAAAAAAAAAAAAAAAGAGAGAGAGATAGCATGGGGCAAAGGTCTAACTGCTATTTATAATAACAAAAAAAATGGAAAGCATCTTAAATATCCAATGGTACTGGACTGATTATATTCACTATCCTGTACATTAGCCTGTATAATTAAATGCAACCATTAAACTTATGTAGAATATTTGTGAATTTCAATGATGTGGAAAACATTTATTATAGATTAAATCTAAAGCATATTATAGGATTAACCTATTTTGTACATTATATGTTTCAACATGGATGGATGGCTCAATGGCAGAAAGTAGGAAAGATATACGTAAGTGTAGGATGCTTGAATAGGCATGTTCAGAGCAGCATTATTCATAATCACCAAAAAGGTTAAAAAACCCAAATGTCATCAGCAGATGAACAGATGAACGCAATTTAGTATATCCAGTTAAAGGAATATTACTCAGCCACAAAAGGATTGAAGTACTGGAATCTATCCCAACGTGGATGAACCTCAAAAACATTATGGTAAGTGATAGAAGCAGTCAAAAAAAAGACAAATACTGTAGGATTCCACTGAGATTGAAGCACCCAGAATAGTCCAATTCACAGAGACAGAAGGTAGATTAGAGACTGCTTCAGGCTTACAGGAGAGAATGGGGAAATATTAATGGGTGCAGAGTTTTAGTACGCAATGAAGTAAAAAGTGCTGGGAAGGGTCAGTGGTGATGGCACAACATTCTGAATGTAACTAATATATCTAATGTATCTAATGCTAATGTATTTAGATTTTTATTGTATACCATTATATAATATTATATATGTTTTGCTACATATATATGTTTTACCAGGCTACACCTATAAAAACAGCTATGTGGGAGGTGTAAGTAGGACAATGGCAGTCCAGGTCAGTGTGTGTGGGGGGCGGGGGAGAGAAGACCACAAGACTCCATCTGAAAAATAATCAATGCTAAAAGCACTGGTAGAGTGGCTCAAGTGATAGAGTGCTTGCCTAGGAAACATGAGGCCCTCAGTTCTAACCTCAGTACCACCAATATAAATAAATAAATAATGTGGGAAAGGATAAGAAATAGTCATTTGAATTTGATCAAAGGACATTATATACATGGTTGGAAATATCACAATGAAGCTCCTTTACACAATTAATATATGCTAATAAAAAACATACAAAAATATGACCTACCAGTAAAACATTTGTGGGATGGGAGATTAAGGACTTTCTTTTTTATTATCTATTATTTTCTAATTTTTTCGATAATAAAAAACATTCAAGAAGCAAAAGCAACCCCAGGTTTCCTCAGGATAAGTAATGCATGGGCAAATGTTTGTGTCATGTGCAGAGTACTGAATCAATAACCTTACCAAAGGAGAAAAAAAAATTTTTTTGGTATGACTGGGGTTTGAACTCAGGGCTTTGCACTTGCAAAATAGTCACTATTCTGCAAAGCAGAAAATCTTATTGAAAGGAAAATCTCACTGAAATGAACCACTTCTACAAGATTAGGGAAAATCATATAACCATCCAACTACTTAAAAAAAGCAACAGAGACTCAGAGAGGCTGACACTAGAAAGCACCTGGAGAGTAGAAAGGAAAGGTGTGTACCTTGTGTGGATATGGAGGATGCTTGTTTCACTTTGATTGACTGCATTCTGGTTAGTCTACAACAGAATTTCAGATATTGACTGATTTTGTAAGCTTCATAAATGGATATATTAAGCTTTGAGATACACTTTTGATTCAGTGTAAGTAACTTGGCACCTAGCTTCACAGATTCCTACATCATCAGATGAAATAAGCAAAAGGGCTGTCCCTTGAGTGACAGGGGCAAGAGACTTTCACAATTCAGGCCCAATGGGTTGAGAGATAAGGTCACAGTGGCAATGAGGAGGTAATTTACAGCCCTTTGCTGGCCTCTTTGGGACCCAGCTGTGTCTGGGAATTGTGAGCACTGCCTATGCGCCTGCCATGAGAATGCCTCTGACACCCACTGAGAGACAACCAGAGCAGCTGAAGTCCTGGGCATGAGTATCCAGGCCTGGTGCTGTTGCACCTGCTACTGGAGGTCCTTATGAGACCCTGGCACAACATCCCAACACATCTGGGCAGCATCTTTCCCTTATCTTGAGCATCCAGATGTGGGGAATAGTTGGGGTGGAGGGAGCATTGTTATGGCTTGAATCTAAAATGTCCCTGAAAGGCTGTATGTGCTAAAGGCTTGGTTGCCATCTGATGTGCTTCTGGAAAATTATTGGATCATGAGGGCTCTGACCTTATCAATGGATTAACCCATTGATGGGTTCATAATTTGATGATGATAGAAATTTAGGAGGTGATAGAATATAACCCCTGTAATCCTAGCATTTGGGAGAAAGAAGAAAGGAGAGGTGGAGAGAGGAGAGGAAAGGAAAAAGAAAAGGGAAATAAAGAAAGAAAGGAAAGAAATAAATTTAGGAGACGGGACCGAGTTTAAGGGAGTAGGTCTTTGGGGACATGTCTTTGGGAACTATATCTTGTCTGCTGCCCCTTCCTCTCTTTCTCTTTCTGATTCCTAGCCACCATGAGGCAAGCAGCTTTGCTCTACCAGATGCTTCCTGTCATGATGTTCAGCCTTGCCTCAGGCCCAAAGTAACGGGGCCAAGGTACGTACCATAGACTGAAACCATGAGCCAAAATAAATGTTTCCTCCTTTAAGCTGATTTTCTCTGGTATTTTGTCACAGACATAGGAAGCTGACTAACACAGGCACCATATCCACTTTTGCCTAACCAACAGCAGGTGCAAATCCTACCCTAGCACCCTCACTTCTCTCTCCTTCCTTACAGAGCCTTCCTCCATCACTCTTTCTGTCTTTCCCAGTCCACCCTCCTGACTTACCTATCTTAACAGAACCACATCTCTTCCCCAAAGGACAATGGGAGGACCTTGCACAACTAGGTCAAGTCCTTCCGCACCTCAATTATTACCTAAATTTGTTCATGCCAGGGGTCAACTGGAAATCCTTATCTGTGACTGCCTATAGTAAAAGCAGAGGAAATCTTACAGATGAGGTAAATGTACCTCCCAACACCAGCTTTATAAAAAAGAGTTGCATATACTCACTTATTCCTTCTTTTATTCAATCCTGTGCTGTATAACGTTTTGCCTTCTGAACTGCCAAACCCAGACTGCAAGTCAGTGCCAACCTGACAGTGGGTCTTCTGTGTGGCTGATGCCTAAGGTAGTTCAGATTGGTGTGGAGCTCAGCAGTGTCTCTGGGCTGCTGAAGAGAAGACTGAGATGAAAGGCAGTTGTAACCCTAAGGTCTTGAGTAGGCTCTTCCTTCAAAGTTCATAAGTTCATGTAACTTGGAAACCCTGGTGTAGCTTTTTTTTTTTTTTTTTTGGCAGTACTAGGGTTTGATCTTAGGGCTTTGAGCTTGTGAAACAGATACTCTATTGCTTGAGCTATGCCTCTGGTCATTTTGGAGTTATGGTCTTGCTTTTAGCCAGGCTTGATTATACTTACCACCAACACTGGGATAACAGGCACGCACCAAACCAAGCTTTTTTCCACCAAAATGGGGTCTTGAAAAGTGTTTTGCTTGGGCTTGCCTGGAACGTCAATCTTCCCCATCTCAGTTTCCTGAGTGGCTAGGATTACAGGTGTGAGCCAGCCACCAGCACCCGGCTGATCTCCTCCCAGCTGACTCAGGCTCATAAATGTCAACCAGAAGCCAACGAGCCTTTGTAGGCACAGGTAGCTCCAGTGTGTCATCACAGAAGCAAGGGATTAGAAAAGTTCAGTAGTGATCAAAGCAGTTGCACAATCTTGCCTACAACTACTGCTGTTCCCATCAGCGCCAAGAGCCCATGGCCATATTCTGTCAAGTGACAAGAATAAGTGACCGCCATGCTCTAGGGAAGACGTTTTGAGAGGTTCCAACCTTTCTCCAGAGAACCAAGACAAAGTAAGGCTGCCTAAAAAAAGAAGTCATTCACATCTGTGAGGAAGATTAAACTTGTTTATTAATGCATATAAACCTTTTCCAGCTTGTCAGGAGACAGAGCAATCCAAAAGAAATGGCCTTTCAGAGAGTGACTCAGGTGAGTGCTGAGACTGGCCTCAAACCAACTCCAGAAGGAAGCATTGGGACAATTTACAGAAAAATTTTACCACACTTGGAGAAAATACAGTTTTATTCATAATTTTCAAACTAACATTTCATTTTAATATAGCAAAACTCCTGTACTTTTCCAGAGGTTAGAGCGATATTCAGTTTTACATGTGTCCTTGTCCAGACAAGCTCCTACTTGCCTCAGTGGGATCTGCAAGCTTACATGAGAGTATGCTAATTCTCAGTCCACCTCTTGCTCTGTGTGATAAAACAAACTGAGAGAGGAAAAGAAAGAGGGTTACCTTTAAACATCACCTTGAAAATAAACTTGAAAAAACCAGTGACCACAAACAGAACTATAATGGAACATTTGTTTATGACATTAACATAAACTTTAATTAGAATTGTCAGATAAAGAAAGAGTTTGGTCCCAGGCAGAGATCAGTAAAGAAGTTATAAGTTTGGTTTGTACACTGAATTCGAAAAATCCATGTCATTTTTCATGACATTTCTCTCAGGTAGAAGGTTGGCATTACAAAGGCCACATATAGAAAAAGGAGCTTTAATGTATGTTCAAAGTACCAACTGTGACAGACACTGACTTGCAGTTTGTTCGGCCACAGGAATATAAAGATGCAACTTATTCACAATAATTTCTCATTTTTGCAATTTATAAAGTACTTTCACACCAACACTTTACTATAGCATGGAAAGACATCAACCACTTTAATTGCAAAGAGAAAATATATACTAATGTCAGGAAATTATGTGAATGATTATAAAAAGACAGCAAAGATAACTGGCTCCCTTCCATTGGAGGCCAGAGGTCAGTGGCTCATGCTGGCTGAGCACCTCCAGAGCTCTCTGGCTCTGTGGGGCTGCTCCTGCCACTGCACTGGGAAGCTGTATCACTTCTGTGGGGCATGGAAGCTAATTGTGACACCATGGCCCTGCTTGTGGAAATCCTTATCTGGGGAGAATGATTGATTCTGTCTGAGGAGGAGTCTGCAATCTGCACACCCAATTCAGCATTTATTGATTTATTTATTTTCTCCCTTCTTCCCTCCCTCCCTCCCTTCCTTTCTTTCTCATTTTTTCAACAGTACTGATAGGATCTTGCTGACTTTTCCTGACTGGCCTCAAACTTTCCATCATCCTTCCTCCATTTCCTAAATAGCTAGGACTACAGGTGTGCACCAGAACAACCAGCTCAGTTCAGTGTTTCTGATTGTCTATGCATCTATTCTGATTTCCTTTGAACTGTTGTTTTTAAACCTCACCTCATTCCTTCATTAATTAGTTATTTTTGAGGTAGCCATCTTTTTTTTTTTCTGGCAGCACTGGGGGTTGAACTCAGGGCATCACACTTGCTAGGCAGGTGCTCTACCACTTGAGCTACTCAACCAGCCCTTTTTTGTGTTGGGTATTTTCGAGATAGGATTTTGAGAACTATTTGTCCAGGCTGGCTTTGAACTGTGATTCTCCTTATCCTGCCTCCCAAATAACAAGGATTACAGGTGTGAGCCACTGGCACCCAGCATATTTTTGATTTTTTGTTTTGGTGTACTGGGATTTGAACTCAGGGTCTTGCACTTGCTAGGCAGGCACTCTACCATTAGACCCATGCCCCCATTCCTTTTTTTCTTTTAGTTATTTTTTGAACAGGGTTTCACATTCTTGCTTTGGGCCAATCTCAGACTGCAATCCTCCTACCTATGTCTCTGTATATCTGGGACTACAGGTACATGCCACCATGTTGATTGTTGGTTGAGATAGAGGTCTCACTAACTTCTTGCCCCATCTGGCCTCAAACTTTAATCCTCCTGATTTCTGACTGCTGAGCAGCTGGGAATACAGGCCTGCACCATTAGGCCCAGGCCTTGAGTTTTGTTTTGGTTTTTTTTTTTTGCAGTACTAGGGTTTGAACCCAGGTCCTACACCTTGAGCTACTCCACCAGTCCTTTTTCGTGAAGGGTTTTTTCACGATAGGATCTCTCAAACTATTTGCCCAAGCTGGTTTTAAACCCCCATCTTCCTGATCTCTGCCTCCTGAGTAATTAGGATTACAGGTGTGAGCCACTGGTGCCCGACTTTGAGTTAAATTTTTGATATGTGTTCATTTTGTTTTGTATGAGAGTCACCTGGAAACTATTCTTTAACACTACTTTCAGACATAAAGTCTTAGAAAATAATACTCTATGTTTTAAAACATTAAAATAAATACCTTTCTTTGAAATTCCTCCATGGAACTTTTTTTATGGAAATTGAGCATTATTTAAAAAATTAATTCCTCCTGGGTATGGTGGTACACACTATAATCCCAGTACTCAGTAGGCTAAGATAGGAGGCTTGCAAGTTCCAGGCCAGCCTGAGATACATAGCAAGATTCTGTCTCAAAAAAACCTAAATAAGTAAATAAATAAACAGATTGCCAGGCTGGGGCATGTAGCTCAGTGATAGAACATTTGCTTAGTATGCACAAGGCCCTGGGTTCAAGCATCAACACCATAAAAAAATCCCTAATTGTAGATTATTCTTATTGTTTGAATATATATAAAAACACAGTATTGTAAAATATACTAACTTTTAAATAAATTTTGCTTCTTTCCAAAAGAAACTGCCACTTCAGTGCTGTCTTCTGTTCACCTGTCATTGCAAGAAACTCATTTACCTGATTAAAAAAAAGATCAAACAAATATTTCTGAAGCATACATAGATAACTCATTTGACAACTTTGTGAAACAAACTTGATCACTATAAATGGAATTTTAGTTACAGTAATTACTGTTCAATTCTTTTGATAGAGATAAGGCAATAAAGAAAGACAACTAGAATCTCTAAAATCAGTTAGCAGTGGTTCAGCAAGAAAAATGCCTCTTGAAAAGGTGGAAGCAAAATTTGGAACTTAAGTTTCATAGTAAGTTTTATGAGCTGGTTTTAACAGTGAAAAACATACACCAGTCTCTAAATGTCTGCTGCTGTTTTATAGCTACAGACCAGGGAGTGAATGTGTGGTTGACTTTAAACAGCCAGGGAGGAGAAACGTGGTGATATAGCCCTCCTTCTAGGACACCCACTGTGTGACTTATCAACATCTCAAACATATCACCCATTGTTAATTGACTGTCTAAAATAACATGTTTATTCCTCCATTTTGCTAAAGTCGGCAATCATTTCATAATAGTATTAGCTAGGATTTTAATATACAATATGTGTTTTGTTCATTAAAGTAATGTGCATTTAAAGCAAGATAATTGCCCCATACATCTTTATTAATGAGTTAATCTCTATCAAATGTTCAACAAAATAACCTATAATTTTAAGGAAGAATATGGATTTATTTGGAAATATTTCTAGGCTTTTTTTTCCTTTTTGCTATTTACCGTGCAGCCCAAAGTATCCTCAGCAATGCTTCCTGTGAGACTACAGGAATGCAGGGTTCCTGTGTGGTCAGTAAGATCAACCAGCATATCAAAGCTGAGAAAAGTAGGTTTAAATCCTGAATAATTTTTGTTGCAAGTTACACAAGTGTTGGATACTTCATTTACAATATAACCACAGTTGGAACTGAAAAGAAACAAACAAGAAAAAATGTGATGATCCTAAATGACAAATTTAAATCTCTAGAAGAATTGTCGTTGTTTTTTTTCCCTGTGATACTGGGGTTTGAACTCAGAGCCTCACACTTGCTAAGCAGGTGCTTTACCACCTGAACCATTCCATCAGTCCAGAATTATCCCTTAAAATTTTGAGTAAAAGATAAAAAAAAATTTTTTTTAAAGTCTGAGTCAGAGCCAGGCTTGGTGGTACATACACTTGTAATCTTACTACTTAGGAGGCTGAGGCAGGAGGATCAAGAATTTGAGGTTGGGCTACATAGTGAGACCCTTTCTCAGAAAAAGAAAAGTTTTAGTCAGCATGTGGAAAGCTCAGTGTTATACAGGCTATGAGACAGACATAAAGAAGCAATACAAACGTGCTTTCTACACAGACAGCCTCACTTTCAGCATTTGTGATTCATCTGAAGCTAGATACACTGTCCTTTCACTGTCTTCCCTCCTTCCTTCTTTCTGCTGGGGTTCCTGCCCAGCCACGAGGTCTATCTGTCTCATTTCCCTGTGCAGACATTCCTTTCCTATACACCAGCCAACACACTTTCCTGTCCTGAAACAGCTACAGAGCTTATGTTCCTGCACTAACATATGTGGTCACATCTTCTCCTTTTCAGTGCAAATGTGTCTGTCCCATCTCTCCAACTGAGAGTTCTGAAAGCAGGAATCATGCTGACCCAAGGGTACTGTACTCAGTCTTCTGTACATACACAGAAAACTCTACAGGGATGAAAAACTCACATGATTAATGGTATTAATACTGCTAGTGATACATCCTCTCTTTAGTGATAATTTCATGTTATTCTGTATTTCTGACGCAGGCCTTTCTTTAGCAATTTCGGTTTTTTGGCTTACAGGGGTTTAAACTCAGGGCCTGTGCTTGCTAGGCAGGCACTCTACCACTTAAGCCATACCTCAGCCCTTCAGCAGTTTTGAGCAGGGAGTCCAATTAAAATTTCTCAAATAGAGGAAATTATCTGAAGACTTAGTTTCTTGTAAAGCCATGGGTCACTTTCAAAGTAAACTTTAAATGCTTTTCTTCATATATCAAAATTAGAGATGTAGGAAAAAGTAAAGGAAATAATTTTTAAATTTTTTGTGGTTCTGGGGATTGAATTTAGGGTCTCTCACATGCTAAGCACATGCGCTACCACTGAGCTGCAATCCTCCAGCCAGTGAAAAATATTTTTCAAATAATAAACACAGCAGCCTCCACAGTAGTTTTTTTCAACTTTAATATCACATCATAAAGTTTTAAAAATACAGAGGTCAATATATTTACTGTGAAAATAGATACACAAACCTACTGACAGTGATAAAACTATATAGAATGAGGAAATTTGAATAAAATCATTGGATTGAATGAATTCAGTACCCTGGCTGTTGTGATTACTATACTTGCAAAATGTTACTATTAGGATAACACTGGACAAAGGGTAGGAGAGCTTCCTCTGTATTATTTCTTTTAACTCCATATGAATTTAGAATTAACAAAAATTTCAATTACAAAAATCCATAGGGAGGTTTTCACAATGACATTTTAGATGTTTCTTGCCAAGTATTATTTAACTAAGAAAATCTACTAGGATTTACTTTCTATGCAAGGAGATACAAAATGTCACCTCTTAAGAAGTTGGAGGTTATATGCATCGTGCAATTGAAAATAATTTTTAAATGCTATCACCAGATTGCTATAAAACATAACCAAAACAGTTTTCCACTAAATATAAGACAAGTTTGGGTCAGACACTTCTATAATCCCAACTACTCAGAAGGCAAAAGGACCATGAGTTGGAGGCCAGCCCAGGCAAACTTAGCAGGACCTTATGTCAAAAACAAATTACAACCAGGCATCGGTTGGCTCACGCCTGTAATCCTAGCTACATGGGAAATTGAGATCAGGAGGATCCTGGTTAGAGGCCAACCAGGGCAAACAGTTCAGTTGACCCCATCTCCAAAATAACCAGAGAAAAAGGGTTATTTTGTTTTTCTCAAGCAGTAAAGTGCCTGCTTTACAAGTATGAAGCCCTGAGTTCAAACCTCAGCCCCAACAAAACAAAACACAAATAAGAGGGCATAGGTGTAGCTCAAGCAGAAGGCTCTGGGTTTAATACTCACTGCCACAAAGAAAATAAATTTTAAGAAGTTTGTCATTCCAGTTCAAAGTTTTGGGAATTATTATATATTTATCTTTTAGTACTACAGGAATATGAAATTCTATTTTACTATAAAGGTTAGTGATAATCTTTGAATCTAAATAGTTTGTCGTGAAAGATTTTTTTGAATCTAAGACCTCTGGAATGTTAGGCAAGATCTCTAACACTTGAGCTATGCCCTCAGCCCTTTTATTTGCATTTAATTTTGAGATACGGTCTAACTTTGCCCAGGCTGGCCTTGAACTTGTTACCATCCTGCCTCTGCTTCCTGAGTAGCTGGAATTATAGGCACGAGCCACCAGGCCTGGCTTCATGGAAACCTTTTTTTAATTTGTCTGGAGATTGAACTCTGGACTTTGACCTTGCTAGGCAAATGCTCTACCATGTATGCCATGCCCACAGACCATGGAAACTATTAATTATGGTTTATTTATTTATACATTTATCTCAAATAAGTAATCACTGTTTTGTCAAAGAATACTGTTAATTCTATAGAGTCTAAAATTTATTAATGAAAATTATTTCTTACAAAAATGAATTTGCTAATAATTTAGCTTCTTACCATCTATTTCGAACTACTTTTGTAATCTCATCATCAATGTTCAATGTAGAAATGAAGGCATAAACAATACCATAGACAGGATCAGCTTTTCCTTCATTCTTCAAAGTTTTTGCCTTTAATTGTTCTACTGTATAGACATCAACTATTGCACTTACTAGAAATAAAAATAAGTATTACAGTTGCATATATATTCTAAGACCTACAAAAAGCTATATCTGAACAGAAAAGCTATAAAGTTCAAGTAAGAATATGTCAGTAGCTGAAGTAATAGAAAACTATTTTCTATGTTAAACTGATTAGATAAATGAATATAAAAGCCATAAAATAAGAAGAAAAATTTCTGGTCATCAAAAGACACCATTAAAAAGGTAAAGAGACAAGCCACAGAGTAGAAGATGCTGGCATTCTACTAGAGGATAAAGGACTCATCCAGAACACCTGAAGATTTTTAAAACTTATTTATTTGTTTATTTGTTTGCTTTCTTCTTTATTTAATTTTGGTGCCAAGGTTTGAATACAGACTTTGTGAGCATATTTTATGCCAAATTCTGTGTTGTGGGCATAACACTTCTCTAGGGAGGAAGTCATTAGCTCTTATTAGATTGACTAATGGTTATATAAGCCCCCAAAGTTTAAACTAGTTTTTAAAATGTGGAAATATAATAGTTACAGAATAAAGAATATGGTATCTTTTTTACTATGTCAAATGAAAACTGCAGGACCAATGACCTTTCTAAAAATCAAAAGGGGGGCTGGGGATGTGGGTCAAGGGGTAGAGTAATTATTAGCAAGCACATGGCCCTGAATTCAAATCACAGTACCAAAAAAAAATCAAGAGGAACTGGGGATGTATCTCAGTGGTAGCATGCTTTCATAGCATGCATGAGGCCTGGGTTTGATCCTTAGTACTGAAAAAAAAGGTATTTTAAAAGTATACTTACAATTTATAGATTCTTTCAAATAACTGTCAATTTCATTAGTCAGAACATTTGTTTCTTTATTTTCTCTTATAAAATTCAGTAGGATGTTAGCTTCTGGTGTATCTTAAGTCAAGAATGCATTATAAGGAAAAGGCAAAGTGATTTTGTTTTAACACTGTGAAGCATTCAAAATTACTTTTAATAGTAAAAATAAAACCAAATAAGAATATAATCAAATAGAATATTCTTAATTATTAACAATGTGATAAGAAAAACTCTATCAACACAGAGCGATATATACTGAATATTGCTAGTGAAAAGAACAGCTTACAAAACTATATGGTACAATACTCTCTTAGTTTAAAAAAATATGTATGTGTAAAATTACCTGGAAAATATATGTGAAAGAAATGATTAGCTCTAGATAGTGGTATTACAGGTTATCTTTGGTTCCTTTTTATTCTTTCATGCATTTTCTAGATTTCATATGTATTTCTTTTCTAATAAAAATATTTCTTAGGTTATTTTAAAATCTTGCTCATCAAGTTGAAATATGAGTTTTTCTCAGGAATTATTAGATGGTGTGCTGGAAGGCAAGAATGTAACTTGGAAAAAGGATTTTCACAGGATTCTAATGCCTTTAAGCCACGACACTGGTCTCCAACAGGTGTTGTCTTTATGAATCTATCCAACTTGAACATCCCACAGCTTGTCCTGACAACACTTGAACTCCACTATCTTCCTTGGGTAGAATGAGGGGTTACTCCCTCCTTGCTCCCATTACACACAAGCCTTATCACTGTTCTCTCTCAGAATTAGATGGTAAATTCCTTGTGGGCAGGGATTGCACCATTTAGCTTTGTATCCTTCCATCCATCTGTTCATTCATTTGTCCCCTGCCTTGTTCCAGAAAGGATTTAAGTTATCTGAACAGTTAGCAAACAGAAAACATTCAATACACATTTATAAGTTAATGGGTGAATGAAGGAGTGCTTTTGAAGCACTCATAGAATGGCTGTGCTTCACCCAGGATTGTGGCCAAGCAGGCCACAGCAGACCAATGAGCTTCTTGGGACCAGAGTGGTAGGAAGGATGGGGTGTAGGCACTGCTATACAGGCCCCTATTAACCAGAGGGTGACCTGGACTGTCTATGGGGAATGCACAATTCCTGTTCTGATGAACACTCTTAGGGCAGAGAAAGCATAAGGGAGACTTAACATCCTTTCTAGGATAAACACTTAAGCCATTTATAGGTTCTCAATTTCTACAAGGTAGGTATAGCCCGGGAAATTAGAAGTGTGGCTGATTTTAAAAGTCAAATTTCACACCTGTAATCCTAACTACTCAGGAGGCAGGGATCAGGAGGATCACAGTTCGAAGCCAGCCCAGGCAATAGTTTGAGAGACCCTAGTTCAAAAAACCCTTCACACAAAAATAGGGCTGGTGGAGTGGCTCAAGGTGAAGGCCCTGAGTCCAAGCCCAAGTACTGCAAAAAAAAAAAAAAAAAAAAAAAAAAAAAAACCTCAAGTTTCCACACTCTTATGAGTATTCTCCTTTAAATTTGTCTCCTTGACAGAATAAATTAAAGTGATCTGTTGTACAGCACAGTGACTATAGCTAAGAACAACACATTGTATTCTTTTTCTTTCTCTCTCTCTCTTTTTTTTGGTGGGACCAGGGTTTGAACTTAGGGCTTTGTGCTTATAAAACAGGTGCTCTACTGATTGAGCTATTTTTTGCTCTTGTTATTTTGGAGATGGGGGTCTTTCGAACTATTTCCCCAGGCTGATTTCCAACTGAACAGAGATCCTTCTGACCTCAGATTCCCAACTAGATAGATACAAGCATGAGCCACTGGTGCCTGGCTATGTTGTATTCTTAAAAAGTACAAAGGGTGCGGTATTTAAGATACTGCAAAGTACAAAGATAAATGGTAAGTATGTGTTATGGTTTGGATATAAAATGGCCCCCCAGGTTCATGTGTTGAAGACATGGTCCCCAGCTGGTGTTATTAGGAGGGGATTGAGCCAGATACCAGTGGCTCACATCTGTAATCCTAGCTACTCATGAGGCAGAAAAGGGCTGGTGGAGTGGCTCAAAGTATAGGCCCTGAGTTCAAGCCCCAGTACCACAAAAAAAAAAAAAAAAAAGAGGTGATTGAATCATGAACATGCTAACTGCATTAATGGATTAATCCATTCATGAATTCATAGCTGAATGGGTTATTAGGAGGCCAGGCCTGGTTGGAGGAAGTAGGTCATTGGGAGCATGTTTAGAAGGCTAAGATTGGAGTCTTTGCTCCCATTTCCTGCATGAGGGCAGAAAATGTTTCTCTCTCTTTTTCTATCCCCCCCCCACCCCTTGTCTATAATTTATCCTGTTATACTAAAATAAATCCTTGCTAAAATTTTCACCTTGTGAGACTCTTTGTTGTGAGACACCTTAAAATGCCTTTCAATGTTTGTGGATCTCAAGGTCCTGAGATTTTTGCCTGGAAACTAGGAAGCTGTGGAAGCCCCCTCATCCATTCTCCAGTTAATGGGGCTGGTTCAGTCTGTAATCAGAAGAGTTCCAAATTCTTGAGGTATCCAGCAAGGAAGAATCCATCACAGGACACATGTGTGTAAATGGAATTTATTAAAAGTTGAAGCTAGAAGCCCAGAGAACATGTTTCTGCAATCCAGAGTCTCCTGAGTCTTTCTGCCCTTTCATCCCAGGAACAATAGGTCTGAGGGATGAACATCATAAGACAAGGAACCAAAACTACCCCCTAAAGACAGAGACCTTTTTGGCTACAACCAAGCCTACTTCAGTATCCTGAGATAATGATCTAAGGCAGTACTGGAGTTTGAACTCTGTTAGGCTCAAACTATTTAACGAAGCAAGAATAGATGAGAAAAAAACCAAACCGACCTCAACAGACTGGACGGGCCTTTATTAAAAGCCAGAGAGGGGTACCAAATACATCTGGACGAATCCACAATTACCTGAGACCACAGGAACAATAACCCTGATGGATGACAAAGACTGAAACTATCCCTAAGCAACAGACATCTTTTTGATACAACAAAGCTCTGTGTGGCTGTGGAGCTCAGACTGTGCCCTCTTCCAAGTTACTCCATATTCTACAGAACAGTAGTGTTAAGCCTGCACTTTGCCCTAAATGACTCCATTTTGTACAACAGCAGTTTGTTCCATTTTGAGTGCAAATGCTGATGCAGAATGACTCTGTTCCTTGTTTGTGCAAGTAAAGAACCATAAACCATCCAGCACAAATCATGAGGCAGACTGATGAAAAACTTATTAATGCAAATAAAATACCTTTAAACTTATGGAACACATGGTTAAATGGGTGTATCAAAAGCATATCAGGAAAACCAGACCCATAAATTTATTGTACACACCAGACCAACGGATGATGCAACTTCCTCACCTGGATTTTATAAAAAGAGGAGTGCCTAACACCGAGGGACAAGACACTCATTAGCCTCATCATCAGACCATGAATGTGTCATGGGATCTAGAGGCAACAAACTTCCTACTCTTTCATTGGGACTTCAGCCACACAGGATCCCCCAGCTCTATGTGACCCACTTGAATTGCCATCATCCAGACCTGGTAAGCAAATTAGTGGAGTAGCTCAAGTGGTAGAGTGCTTGCTTAGCAAGCACAAGGGACTGAGTCAAGCCCCAGTACTGCCAACTCCCACAAAAACAAACAAAGCACAGACCCACTAAGCTTGGAAGCAGCTCTGAGTCTTGAATCAGCCATGCATTTTGACACCATCACACCACAATAGCTTTGTCACTGGTTTTTTTTTTTTTTAAATATGGAGGACTTCCCTTTATGAATCTGTGTGTCATTCTTGCCCTGACAATCTTCTCTGTATAGTTCCAATTTTAGTATATGTGCTGCCAAAGTGAGCACTGTGACTGGTTCCTATTTTTGTTTGTTTGGGTTCTCTATATTAATATATAACCACCCACAATGACTCTCTTTGCATCTGTGTTAGTCTTCTGTAATAACTTCTTCAAGTCCTCTTTGAATTCTGTAGCTGCTTTAACCCTTTTATAAGCCCTTCTGTAACCTGGATGTCATTGTAAAGTGTAATGTGTGATTTGAGAGTTAGTAAGTAAGGTTAGAATATATATATATATATAACCTGTTTGCCAGTGGCTCATGGATATCAAGTGACATCAGTAGTACTTGGCAATTAATGCCAACAAAATTGAAGTAGCTTGTCAACTTTCTGTTATTTAATATTCTGACATTGTGAAAAGACAAAAAAAAAAAAAGAAGGCTAAGATTATCGCTGGTCTCTTTCTGTGTCTCTCTCTGCTTCTCACCTGCCATGAGATAAGCAGCTTTGCTGCACCACATGCTCCCCGCCATGATGTTCTACTCAACACCAGCCCACAGCAAAGGGGCCAAAGGACCATGGATTGAAACCTCTGAAAGTGTAACCCCAAATAAATCCTTCCCTCTTAGTTGACTTTTTTTTTTTTCTGGCAGTACTGGGGTTTGAACTCAGGGCCTCATGCTTGCTAGGCAGGCTCTCTACCAGTTCAGTCACTCTACCAGTCCTATTTTTGTGCTGGAATGATAGGGTCTCTTGACCTATTTGCCTGGGCTGGCTTTGAATTACAATCCTCCTGAACTCTGCCTCCTGAATAGCTAGGATTACAGGCGTGAGCCACCACTGCCTCACTTAGTTGACTTTCTCAGGTATTTTGCTACAGCAACAAAAAGTAACTAACACAATGTGTGATATAGTGCATATATTAATTACTTCAGTTTAGTCATTATGCATGTATCTGTAATTGAAAATATATTGTGCACAATAAATATGTATAATCATTATCAATTAAAAAATAAACCAACCAAATAATGTATAAACATGTAAATATATATAAAAATGATAAAATTAAATAAAAAATAAATAAAATTTTTAAAGATTTAAGAAAACTAAAATAAATAAATAAATCAGGCTAGGTTCAAGTGGTAGAGAGAGCCCCAAGTTCAAGTACCACCAAAAAGAAAAAAAAAACCACCCACAAAACCTGGAAATGTCATAAGGAAACTCCCTGTATAGTTATCATAAACAAACAAAAATGTCTTTTTTTCTTTTACAAAATCAGAGAACAGGAGGGCAGAACAAGTCCTGTTTGTGGGGGGGTGAGGGGGGTTGGTACCAGTGGGAGGGGGGAGTATGTGGAAAATGGGTGTAGGAGAGTGAATATAATACAGATACTGTATATACATGTATGTAAATGGAAAATTGAGACCTTTTGAAACTATTCCAGGAATGGGGGGGGAAGGAGAATGATGGAGGGGGTGAATTCAACTATGATATATTGTAAGAACTTTTATAAATGCCACAATGTAATTTAATTTAAGCTACAAAAATAATTCAATCATAGGCATGGGGTGCTGTATCCTAAAAATCCCAGCTACTTGGGAAGCAGAAACAAGAGGATCAAGGTTCAGGGCCAATCTAGGCAAAAGTCAGCAAGACCCTTCTTAAAAACAAGCCAGACATAATGGTATATTCCGGGAATTTCAGCTACAATCCTCTAGGTAGGAGGACTGATGTTCAAGGTCAGTCCCCATAAAAGCACAAACATATAAGACCCTATCTAAAAACAAACCAGAAGCAAAAGGATTGGGGGCGTGGTTCAAGTGCCTAGCAGGCACAAGGCCCTGAGTTCTGCCCCCAGGTACCACCAAAAAGGAAAGGGAGAGGGAAAGGGAGAAGGAAAGAGAGAGGGAAAGGGAGAGGGAAAGGGAAGGGAAGGAAGAAGTAAATTGGGAGTTGGCACTGGTAGTTCACGCCTATAATCCTAGCTACTTGGGAGGCTGAGATTGGGAGATCTGGGAGTTGGTTCAAGTGACAGAATACCTGCCTATCAAGCATAAGTCCGAGTTCAAATGCTGGTATGGCAAAAAAAAAAAAAAAGAAAGAAAGAAAGAAAAAAATTGAAGAGTAACATTATTCTAAGTGTTGAGAAGATACTATGGCTGTCACCATCAAGTTTCAACACAGCAGTTGGAGAGATCCTTTCAGCAGGCCTGGTGGCTCATGTCTGTGTTCCTAGCACTTGGAAGGTAGGAACACAGGATGGAGACAAGGATGGAGACTATAAACCCAGCCTGGACTACTAGTGAGACCCTATGTCAAAAAAAATTCTGATGACAGCTTGATTGAAACATAAAATTGTTTTATAATTCTTGCTCACTGGTGATGCTGTGTTATAGACCAGTAAAGTAAGCTTATGTTTAAAACAGCATACTGCTATACTTAATATGTCCTTGAGCTTGGATTATTCCATTTCTGTAATTCTGTACCCCTTGGCAGTACTGGGCTGACCCCTATGTCTGCATCATAAAGCTCCCTGAGTACCTCACAGGCAATAACCATCTGACCTCCCCAGGTCCTGCTCCACCAACTCAGTAAACTGACTCCCTCAATAACCCTTCTAGGGGGTCTTCTGGTTGATTATGTTATGAACTAGTGATGTAATATATATTACATATATGCTTTAATGTCCTAGCAGTAAGTTATTTCGATGTGGTGAAACTGAATGTACTTTTTACATAGTCAATAATTTAATTTATCAGACCTTGTGCTTGTTAGGCAGGTGCTCTACCACTTAAACCACTCTAACAACCCTTAGCTGATGCTTTTAAAATGTGTTTTTCACATTTTCTTTAGGAAAAATATCAAAGATAAAGCTCATTGTAAGTTTAAAAAAAATAGTAAAGCAGAATTCCCTTTCAATTAAAATTAAATCCAAGCTGTACACATATATTGGAATATATTCATGGTCATTTCTAAAGGAATGAAAGACAGAAAGCTTTTTACCTGGATTAGAAGTAATAATGGTTTTTGAGATTACAGTTGCTATCATACAGTTCCGAAATTTGTCAAAAGTTATTTTTACGTCTGAGGCAAATATTACTGTTTGAGAGAAAAAGCCATTTTAAAATGAATACACTTGGGAATAGAAATTACAAATATTGTGAACACAGTCATAGAATTATAATACCTGTTTCTCGTGGCACCCAGCTTTGAGCAAGCAAAATGGATTCATTATCCCAACTGTATTTTTTAAAAGAAGTGATACAAAGTGAATACATTAGAAAAATCTGGTAATGATACATTATTTACCCTCCCTCCAAAAAAAAAAAAAAACCCACTCAGTGATTAGGGTTAGCAATCTCCCAGGTGGTCAAAGACAGCAGTTAAGACAGAGAACATTTATGTAGTAAACTATTCTTTCAACACACATTCATCTCTAACAACCTCTGCTCTACCAGTTTATTTTCCCAATATTTCATCACTCCACTAGTTAGATCTGAATGACTAAAAGTCTAAAGCTTCAAATTCAAACTTTCTGACTCCCAGGTGGATCAATTGCTTATGGCTTGATGAGTGGAAGGCACCATCCAGATTGTTTCCTTTGGTACCCAGTGTCAGCCATCTAAACAATGCCTTGCTATACTCCACAGTGCTTTAGGGTGCAGACTCACCCTGCACCCCAAACCCTTTCAGGGTACCACCAAAGATCTCAAACATTGGCTTGTTCCTTATCAATGGGTCCTATTAAAACCATTTGATATAAAACAATAATGGTCTCAGTGGAGTTCATCTAAGCAAGTCTAACCATCTAAGCAAATCTATACCATCTAAGGATCTAATTTTAAGGTAGAATCCATAACAACTCAACATTCAAAACAGAGGTTTATTATTTAAAATGTCATTTATCTCCTATCATTAATCCTCTCTTGCTATGAAATCCATTGTATTTTTGACAAAATACAAATGTTCTGTTTCAGTGGTGACAGCCTATGTCCGTTTGGAAGAGATGTGGGAGGTTACCATGTCATTGCAAAAGAAGGCTCCGTTTCATCATAGAGTTTAATTTCACACCTCTGACCTTTTCTTCGATCTGAAGTTGTAAAGTGTTTTGGCTCTCCAACCTTAGAAATGGAAGGAAATCATTATTCTTCCCATATAGATGTAGAAGTATGTAAATATTTGTTGATGTAAATAATCAAATGTTTACTTTTAAGTGTGAAATTAAGAAATATTGAAATATAAAGAACCATTAATATGTTTGATGAGTTGAAGGTACTTTTTGTTTAAACTAGGTGTATTTAGCTGAAGGTGTAAATTATGCACATTTTGAAAAGAGACACAAACATGTGCTTAAAGTTAACACTCAGTTTTTTCAAAATGCCAGAACAAATGCTCATGACAGACCCCTGGTGGCATTAATTTGAATTTTTGAGGATAAGAAGTAGATTTTAAACATCTGTATATCCCCATGGCTTAGCACAGAGCCCAACATGGAGTTCATGTGACTGAACGCGCTTGATCTCCCTATACCTCAGTGTCCTGAATAGCAATACCTTCTCAGCCTTCTTCACAGGGTTAAGAAGGTGAGGCCCGAATGAGGAGACATACAGGAAAGCACTTTGACAAGAAGTCTGTTTCTGTACATAATGCAGGGAAAGAGGATCAAAGAAGTGGAGTGATCAGAGGCCCTTTTCTCTGACTAGTGGGTTCTCAGCAGATACATCTGACGGCTTCACAGTAAAGGCTCAAGCACTGTCATGTGGCTGCTTCCTGTGCCATTGTTATCTCTGGACCCATGGGTAGGACTGAGTCCTGGGGGAAAGTGCCAAAGAAAGATGCAAAGGTGCCAAGAAACAGCTCTGGAAGAGAAAGTCAGAGGAAAGGACAATAAGAGGATGAGAGAGGTCAGCCATAAAAGGGGGTAAGGGGAGACACAAACATTGGTGGGGTTAGGCAGGTGTATTGTGTATTGTCTTAAAAGGAGCTACAAAGTGAAGAGATAGTGGAGGTGAGAAGGAAAACAGAACAGATTGAATAACAATGTGAAGAAAAGGAAATGTAAAGGGGCTGGAAGTAAAGGAGATATGAAAAGTGATATATGAAAAAAGGTGCCAGGCTCATGGAGGAGGAGCAGTTGTAGGGTTTTGTTTATTTTCCTGCTGAGACAAGCCTTACTACAGTACAAATGTGATGGCATTATATAGAACTGTGGGGAAATTAAGAGTCATGGAGCATGCAGTTGAATGATGCACAAGGATTAAACTTAAAGTGATTCTCCTGCACTTCAAGATTGCCGCAAAAGGTGCTGATTCTTCTATCCTAAACAATATTGAGTGCTCCCTGCATGGCAGGCACTGTGCCAGGCTAGAGCTAGAGTGATGAACAAAACAGACATGGCCTCTGCAACCAGCAGTCTGCCATTTGGAAGAGTCAACACTCTCTCAGTCAGCATTTAACACTAATTACAAGAAGTGCTTAAGTCTGTGTGTGTGTATCTTTTAGCAATCATCCTTACATTTGAGAAATTACTCTTGCCCCTTTAATTTTCTGCATGTACTTTATTTTGTGAAGCTTTAATTTTTTTTTTGTATGTGTGGTGTTGGGAATTGAATCCAGGTCCTTGCACATGGTAGATTAAGAGCTCTACCACTAAGCTCTCAGCCCTGTGAAGATTTACTTTTGAAATATACCTCTCTAAATCTTTGCACAGTAACTTACTCTGTTAAACTACAGAGGTCAGAACTTGCCACCATAACTGAGACAGATGTTGATGCAATAGAAGCTAACACCCTCCTGGTGCCCATAGAGTACTGTCCTCGCCTGCTCCTCACCAGCAAGGTGCCATACCAGTCACCACTACAGTCCAGTGGGTATTCTCCCTCCCTCCTCCATCTCTGAGCAGCTCTGAGAACATATGAATACAAGTGAGTCCTTGACTTACTCAACTATACCCCTTCAAGGGACATCATGGCTCTCCAAGTCAATAAGCTTATCCCTTCTATTTACATCTTTGTTTAAACCAAGTATAAAAAGCTCTCATAGTTAGTGGATCTTTTATAAGTACAGTGGTATGCACTGCATTTAGCATGTAATTATGATATTATTTTGCTTTCATTCACAGATAAAATACTTTCTCTTTAATGAGAAATGTTACCATTTTCTTAATTGAACTTACTACTAAGATATAGAGGGAAAATTACCCTAGCTGGTCCTGACCACTGCATTATAGACACAAATTAGGTAACACAGAGTAGCCCACCAACTTGCATTGGACTTGTTGGGGTTTTTGACTTACCGATCTCACAGCTGCAAGCACATTAATAATCCTCCCATCAAGACTGTGTCCATTTGCAACAATGTCGCCCAGTGAATAATAATCATGAGACTCTTTAACAGGTAAATGTATCAAAGCAAGTAACTTGGTGTCCACTTCATAACTGGAACAAACTTTTACCACGGAGTGATTTTCACTGAGCAATAGTTTATAGTTGCTAAATTACAAAAACACACAAGAAAGTTAGTATTAAATGACCTTTTTTTGGTTTTTTTGGTAGGACTGGGGTTTGAACTCAGGGCTTTGTGCTTGCACAGCAGGCGCTCTACTGCTTGATTCACACCTCTAGCCTGTTTTGCTCTGGTTATTTTGGAGTTGGGGGGGGTCTCATGAATTATTTTCCCAGGCTGGCCTTGAGCTGCAATACTCCCAATCTCAGTCTCCTAAGTAGCTATGATTACAGGCATGAGCCACTGGTACCTGGCTTCAAATGATTTTTAATATAAAAATGCACCCAAGTTCATAGTTCTATTATTTTTGTTGTAATTTACACTATACAAAGAAATTTACACTTTTTACTCTTAAAAACTGAAAATTTTGCAAAATATTTGTCTAAAATGTACCTTTTTCATCTCAGTCTTTAAATTATTTCTTCAATGAAATAAAACACACTTTCAATCAAAGAAACTAGGGCTAGTAGAGTGGCTCAAGTGGTACAGTCTAGCAAACTAAGGCTTTGAGTTCAAACCCCAATACCTCCAAAAAAAAGAAAAGAAAAAGCACATTCAATCTCAAACATGTTGCAGATCAATTCATGCCTGAGTTCTAAGCATACTACGTGTCTGACCAAGACTTTTGAGTTTCTGTTTCCTTCTCTGTCAAATATGACTATAAAGTACTCTAAAACTTTAGGGGGATATAAAAACGCAAGGACTTATTTCTCTTTTATGACCCTGGCTGCTCTGCCTAAGTGCCTTAGGTAAAGGACTGTGCTTCACTTACTTCTGCAGTGCTCTGTATGGAGAAACTACAGAACACTTAGTGCACTTAATTCCCAAGTCCTCGGTGGAGGACACAGTTCTCTTCAGCCCTCCTCCCACTTCCTGCTGCTATTGCTTTATTCACCTTAGCACATCTCTTCCAAACTATTGTCCTAATCTTATAACTCAGCTTCCCATGTAGTACAATTCCCTATGTACAGTCAAGGTGATCTTCCTAAATCACAATATGAAAATACTATTTCCCAGCTTAAAGACCTTTTGTGGCTATTCATTCATTACCAAGGAATGAACTTGGATGACTGATAACACCATCAGCAAAGTTGTCTCTGCTCCTCCTCAAGCTTCTCCTCCTGCCTGTCCCTTGCACTTGCCCTATAGGCCAGCCATGCCAGGCTATTAGGTTATCAAACTGACATTTTTAAATGAAAAATAGTTGAACATCAGCAGTTTCATATGGCTCAGCTTATGAAAAGGTCAAAAGGGTTCTTGTTTGTTCCCTCTGCCAAGAATATTCTTCCCTCGCTCCTGCCAGTTATTCATTCATAGATATTTACTAAGAATCTGTGATATACCAGACTTTAATCTAAGTATGACAGAAACAGTGTGAAGAAGACAGGCAAGACCATTGATCTCATGAAGTTCACACTGAGGAGTCGTCACAAGAACAATTAATCAAATCATCAAACAGATGGGAGAAGAATGCACTGTATACAGGGACTACAAAGTGTAAGAGTTCTAAGTGCAGAATAAGTCTAGGGTGTTCATAAAGAGGAAAGAAGTTCACTGGGGCTGCAGAGAGAAATGATAGTCTGGTATAAGAGGAGGTCAGAAGTCAGGTGGGTAATGTGCACCTGAGCATTCAGAAGGTTGGAGCAGGAGGACTGCAAGTTCGCTGCCAGCCTAGACTACTTAGCAAGTCCCTATCTCAAAAAAAGAAAAGGAGTCCAAAATAGGTGGAAGAATGTGATCGATGCAGTTGTCCATGCAACTGCTTGCTGTGCCCACTAGAACCTTTTACAAGCCACTATTGCATCAGTTGCTCCCTTGGTTCCAGAACTGTCCTTTGACCATGCTAGAGGTTGGTCCTCACCCCCTTGGGGGGGTTGGTGGACACAGAGCTCCCTCCTGGGCACCACCTGCAGTTCCAGGAGAACTCACTTCTTTGGTCAGTTTCTCTCTAGACCCATCCTTTAGGGTTCTCCTGAGAGCTCTCCCTCAGCAAGACACTTACATAAGAATCATCTCAAGTTCTGCTTCAGAGAACCTGACTTAAGATGGTAAGGTATGACAGTAGAGTAATACCTTGATATGAAAAAAGATATATACAATTTCCAAGATTTATATTTTCTTCTAATTGTTCAGTTTTAATGTCACTAGAGCCAAATTTTTATAAATTTAATAATAAGAATCAAAGTACAGTTGGCCCTTCATATCTGTAGGTTCTGACAGACTCAACCAACCGTGGGTAGAAAATGTTTTGGGAAAAAACAATAAAAAATATTGATAAAATAAAAATGATTTCAAATATAGGGAAAGATGTGTATAGGTTATATGCAAATGCTATGCCATTTAATATTTTAGTCGCCTCAGTGGAACCTGGATGTAATCTATGTTTACCAAAAGAAGACATTTAAAAACAAAACCATTTTTCATCCAGCTCTATATCAAAGTAAATTATCTCATTTATCTCAAAGATAAATATTATGAGAATTAAACTACTAATTTTCAAATTGAAGAAAAGCAACTATAGTAAGCTCTCTACTAATCTTATGCAAATTATTAGTAATGATTGTTCTAACACAAAGAAAGTTGATCTCTGTGCTGGACAGATACTTACATAGGAGTTGCAGGGTTGAACTTTTCTTCTCTTTCTATTTCCTTTCTTTGAACTAGAGGATTTTCAATTATCACTAAACAAGAGGGTAAAGCATGGTATCACAAAACCATAACTGGATTAATCAAACGTGAATGGGCATCACAATGAACTTTGCAATGTGATTCTAACTTCTGAGCCGGGGTCATGTATCTTCCACAGACATCTCATATCTCTTTAAGAAATGGACTCTTGGGGTGCAGCCATCAATTTGATGACATTTCCGGTGCTTTGTATTTAAGGCCCATAGTAGTATTACCTTACTGATTTGATGGAACTCACTATTTGATTTGTTTACAACATGCCCTTCAGTGAAACAAACATTTAACTGACTTCTACTTCATGTTTCTACCTTTAGAAACAATGGTGGGGGTATAAAGAGCAACTTAAAACTGAGCAGAGCTCACTAAGCTCTGTTGTATACTTTCCTCTGTTTGTTCATTCCTCACAAACCATCCCATGATTAGCCAGCCCTATCTTTCAAATAAAGACATTGAAGCTCACAGAGGCTAAATAACTTTCTTGAGGTTTTATATCTAGAAAGAAGTACAGCTAGATAGAATTCTGATTCAAGCCAGGCTGGTGGCACATGCCTGTCATTCCAGCACTAGGGAGGCTGAGGCAGGAAAATTGAAAGCTCAAGGTTAGCCTTGGCTGCATAGTGATAATATCTCAAAAAAGAAAAAAGAAAGAATTCTTCTGATTCAAAAATGTATAAAATCCTTTTACTCTGCACACTAACATCCTATTTACAGTTATAATCATTATCAATTTTGGACTTTTTAATTCATCCTCACAGGCATCAACATGTAACATATTTTATTTTGCAGTGCTGGGGACGGAGCCTACTTGCATTGTACATGCTAGGCAAGTACTCTGCCACTGAGTTACAGCCCAACATATAAAATATTTTAATACTAAACTATATCTCTATGCAACTGATGTTCTGACACTCATTCAAGGAATGTTTATGTCTAAACCCTACAAAGATGGCAAAATATTCTGCCTTCATATTCCACATGTTCAATAATATTATTCAATTAGAAGACAGGAGCCAGTTATCCTAGCTACTCAGGAGGCAGAAATCAGGAAGATCACGGTTCAAAGCCAGCCTGGGTAAACAGTTCACAAGATCCTATCTCAAAAAAAAAAAAAAAATCACAAAAAAGAGCTGGTGGAGTGGCTCAAGTAGGCTCAGAGTTCAACCCCAGTTCACAAAAAATAAAAAATAAAAATAAATGTTGAAACTGGGATTTGAAACCAGATCTATAGGCTTTCAAAATCCTTGTTCTTTCCATTCTGTCAGAAACATACTAGGGAGGGCTGGTGGAGTGGCTGAAGTGGTAGAGCACCTGTGAGCAAATGTGAGGCCCTGAGTTTAAGCCCCAGCACCACCATAGAGAGAGGGACATAGGGAGGGAAGGAGGGAAGGAGAGAGGGACAGAAGGAAAGAGAGAGAGAAAGACTGGGGAGAATATGAAAAAGAAAAGAAAGAAGGAAGGAAGGAAAAGAAAAAATGAAAGAGAAAGAAAGAAAGGAAGGAAGGAAGGAAGGAAAGAAAGAAAAAAAGAAATAAAGAAAGAAAAGAAAGTTACTCAAAATCTCATTCACAATTCAAATATCAACTTTACTTTTATCAAACTCTATTCAGGGGCCCTACTACCTGTCTTCAGAAAGATAACTGATTATAATAATGGGGACTAATGCAAATTAAAATATGAACCACATCAAAGATGGTAAAGTACCTAGAAAACCTGACTTGTCATGTTTATATGCTTAAGTAACATGCTGAATGTCTTGCATTATGCTCGTAATGTTTGACTTTTTTCTGATAAGGTTTGGAGAATTATGAGCTATGTCTTATTTCATTGTGACTTCCTCAGTATAGCTGTCACAAACATACCACAGAAATAACACTGCAACAGAAACAGTTTAAGAATCAATGCTAAGTCTGAAGCAGTGTGCTGTAATTAGTATTAACATTTCTACTGAAAAAAAAAATCAATGCTAGAGGTGAGAAGGGACAGGTGAAGGGGAAGAAAAAAATTAATGTTAACTTACCACACTCACCAACCCTAAAGCTGTCAGAAAGTGACTTAATGTAATCTTCCTTGCCCCAGGAGGCTACATTTACAAAATGGGTTGGTGAATCACGAATGGTGAAATTGAAAGTGTATCTTTCTGATCCAATATCTAAAGGAAGACCAATGTTTTTATTTTTCAGATGAACTTTTTGACTTTGAACAAATGATTATTTAATCAAATGATCAATTATTGATGACTATTATTATTGTAAAAATACATGAACACATGGTGGGAAATGTTATTTCTGATGTACATTCTATAATAAAGTTATGCTTCCATGAACTTCCAAGTGAAATGGTAACAAGCTGCCAGTGTAGCTTCTGTGAGATCTTTTGCTCCCTTTTCCCAGTTATCTGTGTATTCAGAGGGAAATGACACATGGATCTGAACTATCTGGCTATTGCCTTAGATTCCCCGTTTCTCTCTTACTGTTTTGTTACTACTTTAATGTAAATCATAATTCAGATCTATTTTTTTCAAAACAAATTGTGTACTACTAAATGAGTACCACTAGGGGTCAGCAAGTACTTTTTTTTGCCAAAATAGTTTATTTCCTCCTTCCCTCCCTTCCTTTTTTCCTTTCCCTCACCCCTCCTCCATCCTTCCATTCCTTCCCTTCTTCCTTGTTTTCTGTCTTTCTTCCTTTCTTCCTTGTTCTCCCTCTCTCTTTTTTTCTCTCTCTCTCTCTGTCTCTCTCTTTCTCTTTCTTTTAACACAGGGTCTTATGTAGCCCATATTGCCCTCAAACTCAAGGTCCTTCTCCTTCAGCTACCTGAGGACTGGGATTAACAAGCATGTACCACCACACCCTATGGAATTTTCTCTACTGTTTTTGATAATTTAAAAAAGCAATACAACCTAACATACATACAAATTATAGATATATCCTGAACTGTTATTCATGTCTACTTTTGTTCCAAAGACTAGGATGGGAAGAATTGGGGGTTGAAAGAGGAATTTTACTTTCCAACTCTATGACATTTTATACTATGAATTTTCATGCAAACATGTTATATATGCAATGTTATTAAAAGTAAGCATACCTTCTCCAAAAAAGGAATACTGTGGATGTCATCATAGAAAAAAGTTAAACAAGATAGAAGTGTTTCCCCTCCTCTCACCACCTAATCTGTGAAGAACTATTATTTTATTTTATATTTTATCTTATTTATTTTTGCAGTACTAGAATTTGAACTCAGGGCCTTTAGCCATGCCCCTAGTCCAAAAAACTATATTTAATTGTTCTAATTTTAGCAAATATTTTAATAATTATTTTTCTAATTTATGTATTTGATGTTATACCTTCTAGAGCTTAGTAAACAAAGCTATATAGACTTTCCCAAGGGCTGGCAGAGTGGCTCAACTGGTTAAAAGCATCTGCTTAGCAAGTGTGAGGCCCTGAGTTCAAACTCTGGTACCACCACAAAAAAAAAAAAAAGATAGACTTTCTCAAACTATTCAAATAGTAATTCTGAAAGAATTATGAAAGAAAGTGCATACATAAATGAGTATGAGTAGGTATCTTCATTATTTACCTCAAATATAAAAATAGAGCCTGGTGAAGTTGCTCATGCTTATAATCTTAGCTACTTGGGAGGCAGAGATCCAGAGGATCACAGTTTGAGGCCAGCCTGGGCAAACAGCAGATCATAGTCCAGGCCAGCCTGGGTGTAAAAGCAAGACCTTATTCGAAAAATAACTGAATAGCTTAAAAAAAAAAAAAAGGCTCACAAAGGGGCTTAAATGGAAGAGCACCTGCATAGCAAGTGCAAGTCCCTGATTTAAAACCCCAGTACTGCCAAAAAAAATTTTTAAGGCATTACATTCATAAGGAATAAAACAAAAATAAAGGTATCGATCACTACACTATGAGTCAAAGTAACACAGCCACAGTTACTCAGATGACTAGCAAAATCAGTGTCTTCTGTCAAAACTATCATCTGGCTAGCTAGATCTCTATTCACTTAAGCTGCACACTACACTACAACGTTAGCAAAAGAACACTGATACTTTTAAAGCTAATAGTAGTGAATTGCTAGTTTGGGCATTCTATATTTTATCTTTCTTATCAACTACAAAAGTTTAAAAATTACTTGATTTTAGAAACCCAATTTTAGTCTTGGATTGTTTTCCCATAGTCCTAAAATTCTTGCACAGGTCAAGTAACTTAATAAGAGCTACTAAGGCCAAAGTTAACTGTTTTTTCCACACATGAAAGATGAATTTTTTCACTAATTTGTCTGGTTCTTTGAATCAATCATAGAGCCTGCTGCCCTACATTTTCTCTTCCTCAGGCTCTATTCTATTATGACACCTCCCTACTCAAAAACTTTCATCCTTATCACCGTCTTACTTGAGATTTACATATGTATTTGCCACCTCTTAGGCTGAAAGTGACAATAAACATGGAGTTGTTACTATGGGCCACACATGATGCTTACCCTTCCCCATATGAACTTATTTAACTTCCACATCAGCTTCATTCATTCACATTTCATAGATTAGGAGAGATCTTAGATCACTTATGACTAAATGGGGTCAGTCTGCCGGGTAACAGTGCCTCACACCTGTAATTGTAGCTACTTGGGAGGTTGGAGGTTGAGATCCCATTCCAGGCCAGCCCAGGGAAATAGTCCTCAAGAAACTCCATTTTCAAAATAACCAGAGTAAAATGGACTGGTGGTGTGGCTCATGTGGTAGAGTACTTGCTTTTTAAGCACAAAGTCCTGAATTCAAACCCCAGTCTCAACAAAAAATGACAACAGCAACAAAAATGAGGTCAGTTTAGCTACAAGTTCATCCACTTAGACATGACATAACTACAATTCCTCTCCATTTTACCTTTACCTAAGTGGTGGTACTAAATAAACTCATATTGAGACAAGTTAATGAGATTACCAATTTAATAAGCTATTTTGGCATTATATACCAAAAATCCTTAAAATCATGTTTAAGAAACATCACATAAAACCATTAAAAACATGATCTATCCTCACACATAGGTCTTAAATTGAGTAGTTGACCATACAACAAAGGACTTGGTCATTGCTCTTAAGCAGTTAAACAGGCATGTGAAATTTAATCAGTTAAATATACTTTGTTGTAGTCATAAGCCACAGCTAATGAAAAATGAAGTAAAGAGTTAAACAGAACTCAGCTTTTTCTGTCTGGAAAGCCTTTGACATCTGTTTTCCCAATAACTATACCGATTATTTTCTGAAAAACAAAGGAGTATGGAAGACCAATATTAAACACAGATGTAAATGGTAAATTTAATTTCATGGGTTTGTTATAGTTTACTGGCCCTAACAAACATTTTTGACTAGGAACCATTTAAATGAATTTATTCCAGACAGACATTTAAAAGAACTTCATAAATGTTTAATCCCACAAGGAATAGAACAAAGTAATAAGACAGTTAACTGCTATTACAATTATAATCACTTAATACTTAAATGTTTCTACTTTATTTTCAATCACCAGATGGAGCACAATAACTGCTCCATATATCAATCCTTACTGAAGTCATCCAAAGCACATATATAGTACAATTTAATTTGCCATGGCCTTCAAAGCTTTCCCTAGGATTTTCTAACATAAACATAAAATTGCTTAGCTTCTTAGTCCAAACATGATAGACAGTAATATAAATTACACTGTAACAAAACTTATATATTGCTAATAAATTTAAATTCAAAAATCCTGAATATTAAACCTTAGAAATATTAATATCTCCCTTAAAGTTTTAATGGTCTCTTTTGTGACTACCAAAGAAAAAGTAAACATTAAAAATGGGTTTTAAAAAACAAAATTATCTTGAAAAGGAAAAACCTAAACTTATAGTATTAATTGTAGTAATTAATTTTGACCTGCAAATAATCTGTGACATTTAAAATACAGTCAAGTTTTTAAGATGGTGACATTCTAGCTGAACTACTAGCTCATCTTATTGCATTTAGACACATTGATATTATTTCTTAAGTTTTATATGCACATACATCTTACTGAATTTTTTTGGAAAAACACAACAGAAAATGTTGAGCAAAACTTTTTAACTGAAGGTGTAATTAGCAAATAGTTTACCTTTCAAGGAAAACTGTAACAATAATTACTCTTAACTTTAATAAACTGAGTTGCAAATTCTTAAAGTTACATATAAATTTATCCCATTTTAAGACACTTGATTTGCAAAAGCCAAATGTAAATAGCAAATTTCTCAGGACAGAGAAGATAAGGGAGTATGGTAATTGTCTTACAGGAAGTACTTTATGATTCTACTCAGATTTCTTTTAAATAAATGTCTCAATATGTTAGAAATCATTACTCCACAACTCCTCCTTACAAAACCAGCATAGATGGAAATATGTAAGAAACTAACTTGAATAATTTGATTAGAAAATTGCTACTGCTGAACAAAAATGGTGTAATTCTATAATGCTAAATCTGATCATTTATTAAAATTGTCCTTATATTAAATATTAAAATACTACAAAACTCCTTTGATCATTTTGAACAATTTCTAGCCATATCTACAATCACATGTCTCTTACTCTATAGACAAAAGAAAGATTAATTTGCATTTTGCTGATATAAATACCAAGAGGTTTAGGAGTACTTAATTTCTAACACTTACACAATGTAGTATCTATATACTTGTCAATTTTGTAAGAATGTGTCCAATGGTCAATAATGTTGACATGTTACCACATTTCATGTTTCATGAGAATAATCAAATCATTACATTGAAACATACCAGATTAGCCATATTTGGCTGCAGATCTGAAAGTGCAGTAAAAGTCTTCAATGCAACGGAGTTTGCCATTTTTAATCTGCATTTCAGAAAATATAATTTAAGTATATAAATTAAATATCTAAAATAAGCATGAAAAATTCTAAATATTAAAAAAACAGGAAAGCACCATATATTTTACTCATTCTTTGGAAATTTTATTATAATGTTGGAATATAAATTGACACAGATTTAACCTGTAGAAACATGCTTGAAGTGTCCTTTTCCTAATTTTGGCAAGGTGGCATATACCTATAGTACCAGCAACCAGGAAGGCTAAAGTGGCATTATTCTTTGAGCCCAAGAGTTAACCAAACTGGTCAACATGGCAAGATCCTGGCTCAGGAAAAAAAAAAAAAAAGTGAATGACATAGCTAGATTTCAACTTTTCACTTTTTAAAACTAAAATTTAGCAGTTTTTGAGTTCCATAAGAATTTAGTTTCAGATGAAAGCTGATGGTACAGGACATTTGAAGATCTACATATTCATTAGCATTAAGCATACCTAAAAAAATACAGCAAAACTCTATTGTAACAGGACTGGTGGAGTGGCTCAAGTGGCAGAGTGCCTGCCTAGTAAGTGCCAAACCCTGAGTTCAAACCCCAGTACTACCAAAAATAAAACTCTACCTGTAAACACCTCAAATCATGCATTTGGTTACATTGTTTATAGGGAAAGGTGATGATATATTAAACACACTTCTGGATGTTAAGCTCCATGAAGAGAGAGGTTTCATCTTTTTCCTTTTTTCATTTATTTTTGGCAGTGCTGGGAGTTGAATTCGTGGCCTTGTACCTACTAGGTAGTGCTCTACCACTAAGCCATATCCTCAGTACCACCATTTCTTCTTTTTGAGCTAGGGGTCTCACTCTGCTGCCCAAGCTGATTTCCAATGCCTGATTCAAATGATCCTCTCTCCTGGTACAAGCATATACCAGGACACCCAACTATGTGTATATTTCAGTGTTACCTAGCACATAGAAAACAATATTGTCAAGTAAAAAATGTAACCAAACTAACAGACTGACTTGATTTCACTTTATAAAACATAGCCTAACTCTGTGAATGCCCTTACCCACAGACAAGGAGGTATCCCCCAACACCTGAGTTTCAGGGAGCTTGTGGATTTTTATTTTGTAGTGAAAGTGACAGTAAAGTTTATTAGGAAAGAAATACACTTTCAATAGACTGAAAGCAAGTCATCTCTAGGGAGAGAGAACAAGAATGACTGCTTGTGGATTTTTAATTCATATTTTTATATGAATTTTAGTTAAATGTCTTGACATTACTGAACTTTGATTTCCTCATCCTTAAAATGTGGATGCCTACCTTGCAGTGAGAAATAGAAAATATAAACAAGGTGCCTGTATGTTCACAGGTTCTCAATAAATGGTAGCACTGCTTTTCTTTCATTTTTTAGCATTGCTTTTCAGTAATATCCATTGTAGCAGTTTTGGCATTCAAGGTCCTCTGACGCCAAGAAGAAACAATTGGAAATTAAGCAGTGTTATATTTCTAGCTCATTCTTTGACCTTGTCAGATCTGGCTTTTGTTTTAAAATTTTTTATTCATTTATTCATATGTGCATACATTGTTTGAGCCATTTCTCCCCCCTGACCCCCCTCCCTGCAACCCCCTTGCTTCCAGGCAGAACCTGTTCTGCCCTCTTCTCCAATTTTGTGGTAGAGAAGACATAAGCAATAATATGAAAGACATAGTGTTTTTGCTAGTTTGAGATAAGGATAACTATACAGAGAGATTCCTGGTGTTGCTTCCATGCACATGTGTATTACAACCCAAATTGATTCATCTCTACCAGACCTCTTCAGGATCTGGATTACTGTATAATTTCACTCCCTGAAATACTAGCCAAACTATGACAGATTCATTTATTAATATTTACTAAGAGCCCACTAAATCTCTAGACACTGAGGTTACAGAGGATGAATTATTCAGTAGCTGAATTTTCTGTAAAAATACAACTCACTTACATACTAAGTGAGTTCTCCAAAATTTTGCCCCTTAGCTTCTCTTCGTGATTTGATTAATGACTTACATGACATCACATGGTCTCTTTGAGATTCTTTCAATTTCTACAATTAGAAGTATATGATGATATACTTTAGTATCTAGCCTCAAAATATTCCCTACCTGGACATTTTGAAAAATACAAGATTAACATGGAATCAAAAGCCCAATATGAGAATTCAGATTATTAATCAGTAACTACTGGCTCTTCTACTTTACAAATATATTTAAAATGTCTCCTTTTCTTCATCTACAATGCCATCTCTCCAGCTCAAGGCTTAGTCATTCCTCCCTTAGAGTACTATAATACCTAGCTTTTACTGAAGTTATTCATTTAACATACATGAATTGAATGTCTGATTATGTGTCAGATCCAGAATCAAAATAGGGCTTAGAGCTGTGGGATGAGCCCCAGGACTGCTCCCTGTACCAACTAGGAGCCTCAGGGAAAAGCAATAAAAACAAGAGCCAGACGTGGGACTTTATGGATATAGCCCCAAGGACACTTATCTAGATCCTTGGCAAGGGTAGAGAGAAATAAATGGTGATGATGGAACTCTGCAGTATAATGTGGTGGTATTGCCACAGGTAACTGTCGTGAGGCTACACCTACACCAAACAGCAGGAACACCATAACCATCTCTGACAGCTCCTCCACCCACTTTTGAAGGTGGCCTTCTGTCGACCTGAGCCTATGCTGATTGGCCAGTTTCTCCCAGGACCATCCTGGTCCTTTGCTTAGGGCATGACCTTGCCCAAACTCCTCGTGCACCTCCTTGCTGGAGCTTTCTTCCACAGAAGAAAGATGCACTGCCTAACCTTTACTTCCTCAGGAGCTCTGTCACAAAAGGAGACCCATCAACTTTCTGATTTTGAGGCCATGGTCACAAATCCAAGTAGGCTAGAGTTAGTCAGTTTGAGATCTGGGTCTAGGATAGAATTGTGCAGAGGGGTGGAGGGGGCATCCAGGATGATGTGTGTGTCTGTATGAACTGCCTGTTCTTTTCAGTATAATCATTATTTTCCAGGACTGAGGCTAGGTGTCTCACTGTGCAGTGGAGTTACCTTAGGAATTCCCATCATAAAAGTCCACTTCCATCCACTTTGTCATCTCTGACATTTCTTCTTCACAGCCAAGGCCCCATTCCTTTCCAAGTCCTGCCAGTTCTATCCCCCTCCTAATTCTCTCTTGAATCTGATTGCTTCTCTCCACACCTCTGACCTCCTTGCCACTCTGCTTCCACGTCTTTTTTTTTGATAGTACTTGGGGTTGAACCCAGGGCTTGGGTTTGCTATGCAAGCACTCAATCATTTGAGCTATGCCTCCAGCCCTTTTGGGTTTTTTTGTTTTGTTTTGAGATATGGTCTTGTAAACTTTGTCTGGACTGGCCTCAAACTCACAGTTCTCCTGGTTCTGCCTCCCAAGTGCTGAGATTACAAGCATAAGATAGCATGTCCAGCTTCTGCTTCCACTCTTGCCCACTCCATCTATCTCTTCTTCATATGACAGAATAATCTTTTAAAACTTGAAGCAAAACCAGTTGCTGGTGACTCATGCCTGTAATTCTAGCTACTTGGTAGGGAGAGAGCAGGAGGATTTTGGTTTGAAGCCAGCCTGGGCAAATAGTTCTTGAGACCCCATCTCAAAAATACCTAACAGACAAAAAAAAAAAAAAAACCTGGCAGAGTGGTAAAATCCCTGCCTAGTAAGCATGAGACCCTGAGTTCAAACCCCAGTCCCAATACCGCCACCCACAAAAAAAAAAAAAGTTGGATCATGTCATTTCCTTGCTTTATAACCCTTCTCACTGCACCATAAATAAAGATCCAAACTCTGTCATAACCTGGTAATCTCTTCTCCCTATATCTACCCAGGAGCCCTAAGGAGGGGCAATAAAAACAGCTGGCCAGATGAGAGATGTCACTCTTCTTTGCTTCCCAACACCTTGGTACTGTGGCCACTCTCATGGCCTCAGCTGAAAGGTCTCTAGCCCTGGTAGATGCACCTCTTCTTTCCTTGACCCTCCCACTCTCCATGTCACTTTACTATCTCCAGAGACTGGTACCTCCACATTCCTCAGGTCTCAAGGAGGAGCCTTTTCTACACCCCACCTCAGCTGTACCCTGCCTTCCCTCTTAGCCCTCATAATTCCTAGTTGTCCCTTGTGAATTGTCTCTCTTCCTCATTAGAAACTTGGCTTATAAGGACAGGCCCTTCTTTGTCTCATCCCCTATTGTGTCCTACAGTTGCTAGGTAGTTCAGCATCTCACACATAGTAGCTACTGAATACTTGCTGACTAAATTAAATCAAGCCCTAAAAAAGTCCAATTTGTAATTGCAACAATTAGTTTTTTGGGTAAATATGAATTTTGGTTAATGCCTGATATTACATCAGCATTTAAGCTATGGGCTAGGTTACTGCAGGAAGTCCTCTCTGTCTTCTGTACAGAGAATCTCTCCAACCTCTCATCACGAACCACCAGTTTTAACAAACTTTGATAAAACCAGTTGTTTTCTCTCATAGAGGGGAACAATTTCATTCAATGTTTCTATTCCTGCCACTTCAATGGGAATTTGGCAAGTTTTGAATTATGAAATTCTGACATCCAAACACTCTTAAATGGTTGAATAGAAAACTGAGACTGGCTATCATACTGGAGAATTCCTGCGTGTAGAGACAGAAAAAAAGTTTGTTAGTAACTTTCCAAGATAGTTTCAATTTTTTTTGGCGGGGGGGGGGATGTTGTTCTTTTGAGACAGGATCTTGCTGTGCAGCCCAGGCTGGCATGGAAGTTTGCCATCCTCCTGTCTCAGCCTATGGAGTGTGGTTTTACAGATGCTTCCCGCTACACCTTCCTAGTTTCAAATTTTCCGACACTGTTGTTTAAAGAAAGAAAAGCGTAGGGCTTCCATCAAATACTATTTCTACAGTGTATCATCTTGTGCCCTCCTCCGGTATTTGCATCTGGGAACTGACAAGCCCAGGGCATCTGATCAGTGGGT